AAGATTCAGCTTTCACAAACTTCCTACAAACTTCTTACATTCATGCAACTCTTTGTCCTATACTCTCCCTCTCTCCTTTTGGAATAAACAGTAATTCAATTTTTGTCTAAAACTTACTCTTAATTTCCCTAAAAAAAACACACCTTCCACACCATATAGCCTTACCCAGAAAAAACATGTCTTACTTGCATAAATTGTTTTTAGGACTCTTTTTTTAACCGCCATGACACTTAATTTCTAGTGACAACCTAGGAAGCAAATATTTGAGCTGTTTTACATCAGCATTTTGTAGATGAGCACCATCTCATACTCTTTAAAAACATTTCTTCATAATAAAACTTTTTTCATGTCTATTTACAGACCTAAATACACCTACCATTCCAACACCACATTAAAAAGAAGATATTCCATTAGCTGAATTTATTTAAACATCAAGCCAAGTGTGATGGTACACATCTGTAATCCTAGCACTCGGGAGGCTAAGGCTGGGGGATTGAGAGTTCCAGGACAGCCTGGACTACATAGTGAGATCCTGTCTCAAAAAAAAAAAAAAATCAGAAAAGAGGTCCTGTGCAGTGACTTGTGCATGTAATACCAGATCCTTGGGAGGCAGTGATCTGGAGGACCACTGAAGTTTGAGGTCAGCCCAGACAAAAAGTTCGAGACACTGGGCATGATGGCATGTATCTATCATCCCAACTATAGATAGAAGGACCTGGTCTAGGCTGGCCTTGGGCAAAACCTCAAAACCCTATTCAAAAAATAACTAAAAGCAAAAAGACCTGGGCATGCCTCAAGTGGTAGAATGCCACCTGCCTAGCAAGTGTGAGGCCCTAAGTACAAATTGAAGTACTGCAAAAAAAAAAATAATAATAATAAAATCAAGAAAGGAAAACATCAATGAGACCAATACTGTTTTGTTATTTAAATAAGGCAACATGCTAGGTAAGCACTCTACCATTAAGCTACATCCTCACACCTAGTCACACACCTGAGTGCTCTCTACAGGACTCAGTCCTGTTTGTTCCTACTGAACCCAGTTCAGTTTCTGTCTGATGCAGTCAGGCACCTGAAACTTCCTTACAGGACTGTTCTGTCACAACTACCAAATTGTCTAGATCAAAATTTGCTCCACCTCAACTCAGAACACAAATCCATGGTTCTTTGATTCTTGGTGCAGCAAGAGGACATTGAGCACAATGAACCCCGTGGGTCCCCACTCCAGCTTACCTAGTGCTCCTGGGGGGCGGATCTCTAAAGCGCTGTAATGGGTCCTGCTGATTATGCCAAAACTGCTCAAAATTCCTTAGACCAATTAAACTTAGTAGATTCTAGTTGAACAAAACCAAACCATGATACGAGGATCAGGTAGCTCCCAAAACCAAAGTACTTCCTGAGAACTGCAGCCAACACAGTGGTAAGACAGCACTTGCAGGAAAACAGAAATGAGGCATCAAAAGCAACTTAACTGGCTATAGCCTTGTCAATTAACCAGTCAAATGATTACAACTTAACTAGTTGTTTACAGGCTAATCAGTTGATAGCTATAGGACTTTCTGCAACCAGCCAAAGCTCAGTTGCTGTGGGTAATCTCTACGCTGGTTTGGTCTTTTGGGCCCAGTTCAAATCCATGACATTCCACAAAAGGTTATTTAAGGACACCTAATGCAAATAAAGAAATTGGGCTCATTAGGCAATGGTCTCTAAACTGAAGAGAACACCCACAGAGTGGGAGAAAATATTTGCCAGCTACACATCAGACAAAGGACTGATAACCAGAATATATAGGGAACTTAAAAAACTAAATTCTCCCAAAACTAATGAACCAATAAAGAAATGGGCAAGTGAACTAAACAGAACTTTCTCAAAAGAAGAAATTCAAATGGCCAAAAAACAAATGAAAAAATGCTCACCATCTCTAGCAATAAAGGAAATGCAAATTAAAACCACACTAAGATTCCACCTCACCCCTGTTTAGAATAGCCATCATTAGCAACACCACCAACAACAGGTGTTGGCGAGGATACGGGGGAAAAAGGAACCCTCTTACACTGTTGGTGGGAATGTAAACTAGTACAACCACTCTGAAAAAAAATTTGGAGGCTACTTAAAAAGCTAGACATTGATCTACCATTTGATCCAGCAATACCACTCTTGGGGATATACCCAAAAGACTGTAATGCAGGTTACTCCAGAGGCACCTGCACACCCATGTTTATTGCGGCACTACTCACAATAGCCAAGTTATGGAAACAGCCAAGATGCCCCACCACCAACGAATGGATTAAGAAAATGTGGTATCTATACACAATGGAATTTTATGCAGCCATGAAGAAGAATGAAATGTTATCATTTGCTGGTAAATGGATGGAATTGGAGAACATCATTCTGAGTGAGGTTAGCCTGGCCCAAAAGACCAAAAATCGTATGTTCTCCCTCATGTGTGGACATTAGATCAAGGGCAAACACAACAATGGGATTGGACTTTGAGCACATGATAAAAGCGAGAGCACACAAGGGAGGGGTGAGGATAGGTAAGACACCTAAAAAATTAGCTAGCATTTGTTGCCCTTAACGCAGAGAAACTAAAGCAGATACCTTAAAAGCAATTGAGGCCAATAGGAAAAGGGGAGCAGGAACTAGAGAAAAGGTGAGATCAAAAAGGATTAACCTAGAAGGTAACACACATGCACAGGAAATTAATGTGAGTCAATGCCCTGTATAGCTATCCTTATCTCAACCAGCAAAAACCCTTGTTCCTTCCTATTATTGCTTATACTCTCTCTACAACAAAATTAGAGATAAGGGCAAAATAGTTTCTGCTGGGTATTGAGGGGGTGGGGGGGGAGGGAGGAGGTGGAGTGGGTGGTAAGGGAGGGGGTGGGGCAGGGGGGAGAAATGACCCAAGCCTTGTATGCACATATGAATAATAAAATAAAAAGAAACCTAGTTAAACAAATAAAATGCAATACTTTTTCAAAAATTACAATTTCAATTAAAAAAAAACCATAACAATGGTGAACAACAACCTAGAGATAGACAATAAAGCTGATCTGCAGAGAGAAACAAATAGGCAATGAAGAGAAGATTGGTGTCATCGGTGCTGTGTCCCTGTCCTGTTTGTAGTTTGGTTCTACAACCCTCTGTCAATATATAAGATGCCCCAGTGTTCTTCCAGTAATGCACAAATACATTGTCTATTGTTCTAAAAAAATTTATCTCAAAATATGGTGGCTTAAAATAACAAACATTTGTTATCTTAGTTTGTGTTGGTTATAAATTGGGGGATGGCACACCTGGGCAGTCTGGCTCAAGCTGACATCAAGATGGATCCCTCATGTGGTTCTTGTCTTGGCAGAAGACCTCAGTTCCTGGCTGGCTATTGGCAGGCCTATTTGGTTGACTGTTGTTAAGAGGTCCGTTTCCACAGACTGCTTGAGTGTTCTCACAACATGGTGGTTACCCTTTCCCAGAGTTACCACATCCCAGGATGTGGGCAAGGAAGAAGTCACAGTGCCTTTCAGGACTTTGTCTCTGAAAGCACATTTTCCCTTTATTCTACTCTTTAGAAGCAGGTGGCTATGTTGAGCCCACCCTTAGGAAGAACACAGCTAGGTTCCATGCAAGGAACTGACATATATCTAGTTTTGTGGTCTGTCCTTTCTTGCTGACCGCCACTTTCTGGCTGGCCTCTGGGGGTAGTGTCTAGGGCGTTTCCTCACCATACCACATAAAAGCTGTCCTTGGACTATTTAGCCCTTTCAGAGGTGGTATAAGCCCTTGGCACAGTTCTTAGTTTTGTCCCGTCTCCTTAGTTCTGATAGGATTGATTGACTATTCCATGTGAGAGGCAGTTCTGCCCTGGAAAGATATCAATCCCTCCCAACACAGTGTAGACAGAATGTTTTTAAACCACAAAATGGGGCACCGTATGTGAACAGTGTCTGTAAAATTTATGTTGCCTCAAAAATCTGAGGCTCAAGGTTATTCTACCTGACCTCTGAGGGCCATAGAACTGACAGTGGCTGCTGACTTCCCCGGTTCCATGAATGATAAGAGGAGTTTGAGGAAGGAGGAGATAGTCAGCTTCCCACCATCATGGTGACTGGGAAGCCAACAACTGAGAGCTGCAGTGTATACTGTGATCTCTCAGAAAGCTGTTCAGTAGAAAGGTGGGGGCAGAAGGGTGGGAGCAATCAGGGCCCCCAGCTATAAGCAACAGGTACTAACCCGATTTATGTGAGCAGGAAAGAATTTAGTGCAAGGATATGGGGGTGGTCACAGAACTTCTGAGAACACCATGAACCAGCTTCTGAAAGTGGGGAGGAATAAAGAAGGCTCGGTGGCCGGAGCCTACTGTGACCACCATTATGGACCAAGAGACAGCAGTTTACAACACTGACTGTCGCCACCTTAGCCACTACCAAGAACACCAGATGCACAGCCCCAAGGCAGCTAGGATAGATGCTCCTGCTTCTCAGCATCACTTGCTCCCAAAGTCCAGAGCAGGTTCATCTGTTTGGTTGAGTTGAGACGGCCTGTGGCTTAGTTGCAAAGGAGGATGAGAAAGCATGAACTCTCAGCCACCATCCTAGGAGGCAGGCTTGATCTCCCGACAAAATGCAGAGCATGGGAGACCTTCAAATGCAGGAAGTGGACCTAGGCACCCCCAAATCTTCAAATCCACTCCAGAGTGTGAGAAACCAAGAGTCCCAAGTCATTTCTGGGAGAAGTTTGGAAGGGAAATGCAAGAGAGTGTTAAACTAAAGGAACAGCAAAAACAGGATCTTTTCCTTCTTTTGGTAAGATTAAGAGGTCTGAGCAGTTTCATAAAGGGAAAGAAACAAGAAAACTTCTTTATAAGACAAAAATCTGGCCCTTGTGCTGCATCCAGGGACAGGACAGAACTGTCCAGAGATATGATCACTTTGATCAAATGAACAAAAGATTTCTGAAATAAAGAACTTGAAGCATTACTTACGACCCTTCCAAGTGTTAGGTGTCAGTGGCTTTTAATTACCATCTAAATAGATAACACATCTTCTATAATTATAATACAGAAATGTCTATGAACAAAAATAGGTAAAACTTTTTGACAAATGCCTCAGAAAGAATGCTGTCAGTGAAGTGCATCCAAAGCTTTAGGCAGCAGCATCTTCGCAGCCAGGGCTGGTCAGCCTTTGGGGACAGAGGTAAATATCCGCAGGCCATGCATCCCTTTGATTTCTTCTTTTAGTGCCTGAGTAAGAGAGCATCATCATGTTTTCTGTATTTGACAGTGATTACAGAGTATTTTACATAGCTCTATAACTGAAGGGGACTATACACATACTTTAAGCAGTTTTACTTATTTTAATTTTTTGGCAGTACTAGAGTTTGAACTCAGGATCTCCCATTTGCTAGGCAGTTGCTCTACCACTTAAGCCACACCTCCAGCCCTTTCTGCTGTAGGTTATTTTTCAGGCAGGGTCTTACATTTTGACCTAACACTGGCTTCAGACCACAATCCACCTATCTATGACCTCCTGCTTCGCTGGGATCACAGGCACACACCAAACACCTGGTTTACTTGTTGAGACAGGGTCTCACTAATTTTTTGCTCAGGCTGACCTTGAACTGCAATCCTCCTGATCTCTGCCTCCTGAATAGTTGGGATTACAGGTGCAAACCACCATGCCCCGCCTCTTTTATAATTATTTTCTTCTTGAATCAATAATACCTAAGCTGGGCATGGTAGCACATGCCTATAGTCCCAGCTACTTGGGAAGCTGAGGCAGGAGGATCACTTCAGCTCAAAAGTTGGAGCCCAACCTGGGAAACATAAGTGAGACCTCTCAAAAAAGAACAAAGAATAAAAGAAAAAGAAATAACTTAAAAATCAGAAGGAATAAAGGGACATAAGGTAAAGTCTCCCTTCCAATATGTCTTCCAAGCCTCAGTTCCCACTCCCATCCCCAAATAGTTCCATGTGTATCCTTACAGAGATTTAATAATGCATATTCAAGCAAGTACGAATATATATTCCACCCTGCTACCTTTCAAAAACATAAATGTGCCCTGGTCATCGATAGTGCAGGGAGAGGAATGTGAAAGCCTTTCCCCGTGTTTGGAAGGTCTGCTCCTATCCTTACCAAACCCTGCAGCTTTCCCCCATCTCCTACTTCCAACCTGTGAGATGTCTCCAACTGCCAGGCATCTTCCAGTTTAGTGAACCTCACCTCCAGGAATAGGTGGGCTGGGGTGTAGCCCCAACAATGACCACCTCCTTCCTCCTGGAAGCTTACTTTACCTCCCACCTTTAGCCACTCCCATCTCAGCACTAATTGGACTTGTGGAAGTTGTAGTTGCTTTGCTGTCTGCCAGAGGTCTGAGTTCTGGGTGGGACAAATGAAAAATAAGAAAGGCGAGTGCTTTTGTAAGGTGGTAGAGTTTCTTCCCTTGTGGGAAATACTGAGTAAACAGCCTGTGCAGGGAGTTGAAGGCAAGAGCAGATTGCTGTTTTCTCCCCTTGAAGAACTCTGCAACAAGTGGCCCACTTCTATCAGGCATATCTTTGTATGGCCTCTGGTGGTGGTGGGGGTGTGGAGGTGACATGGACTAGGACTGGGCATAGTAGAGTATGATTGAGGGATTTGTAGAAGCAGCCCTTACAGAGCCTCCTTATGCTCTATTACCTTCCCTAGAAAATTAAAAAAATAAATAAATAAAAACACGAATGATTAACATTTCAAACATATTATTTTACACCTAGCTTTCCCCTAACCATCTGTCTTGGAGACCTTTCCATGTCAGGTATCCAGGGTGTCCTTCTCTGGCATCTGGTATCAGCATCATGTTCCATGATATGGATGGACTATAACTTTTCATCTTTTCCCCTAGTGAACCTTCAGGCTGCTCTTTAAAAAAAAAAACCACACCAATCTACAAATTCCACAATTTAATTTAGATCAGGAAACAAAGTCACAAAGGAATTATGAGACTTGAACAAGCTAAAGAGATATTTAGCCCCTGCAGTGCTAAGAGAAGGCACAAAGGATTAGAGGAGGCTTAGCCCTCTAGAATTTAGAGTCAGTGCAGGGGAGGAGATATAGTCCTTTACACTAAACCAAAATCTGATCATCATAGTGGAGTGGACATTTTTTTTCAGTCTGCACAGTGATCTCTCTTTTCTTGGGGAATGGCTCCTTTTCTAGTTTAACTGTGCCCTTTTGGTGGGACCAATTACCTGATCCTGAGTTAGTTATATGCCAGTGGATCAGCCTTGGGTGAAACACGACCCAAACTGAACCAATCAGAATCTCCCTTGGGATTTTTCAAAGTGGAGCTTCATCTCTAGGGTCACTAGGTGGTGGTTGAGGGTCATGTTCCCTATCAAAGAGAGAAAGCCCATCTTCACAAGAAAGATGAGGCCAACACATGGGAGAGGCTAAGAGCTCAGAGTGAGGGAGAACATGAGAGAGCAAGCAGATGAACTTATTTAAGACCCTGAATCTAGATATGCTAGAACAGAAATCAGGTTATTTCTGGGCTAATTAATTATTTTTGTTTGCTTATACCAGTTTTAACCTAGTCTCTTTCACAACAAAAAGAATCTTAATACATGTGATCAGTGCTATATTAAATTTCAAAAAAAAACAAAAGACAGTAGCCCTGGTTCAAGGGCTTGGGGGGGACTACTTCCCTACTTCCTATTTTCTCTGCTTTCTGCAGGCTCAGGGACTCTCTAGAGGCTGTGTCTGTATCTGTACCTGGGCTACATCCAGCCTCCCTCCCTTAAAGCCTCTTTAGCTAGGTGAGGGCCCAATCACAACTTCAGGTGTCAGGTCCTCAAACAAGGAAACTTCGGGCTTTACAGTCTCAGGCCTTACACATGTTCCCTTCCTAATGCCTCCTCCCTGCTCTTTGTGCAGCCCCCAGAAGGCTTCCCAACTCATGTCATGGTATCAAATGTTACAGTGACATCCACAGAGAGTTTCAAGATCACCCGGGTCATTTTACAGTTGAGGAAACAGGCCCTGATGGGGAAAATGATTTGACCAAAGTGCTAAGGATAAGGTGAATATGTTTGCCCACAGTGTTATACTGGATGTTGGGGACACAGAGGAAAAGGTATGGGACAGTGATGAAGAAGGTATGAAAAGTAACACAGCCCACGAAAATGGGCTCCACACCAACAGCAATGGCACTGTAACACAACAAGCCACTCTGTCCAGCTGTGGCATCCATAGAAAGGACATCCCTACCTTCCTGGCCATGGAGTGGGCAGAGAAGGACCTCATCCAGGACAGCTAGTAAAATGGGCAGGAAGGGGAGGGCACCTAGTCCCAGAGAGCCACATGAGTTGAGTCTGGGAAGCTCCCCTGAGGAAAGTGCAGCCTCAAGTCAGGCACATAAGGCAGGTCACACCGAGGATGGCAAATTCTAGGCTAGGAAGGGTTACTGGACTCTGGGCCACTGGGGGACCCACTGAAGGGTTCTGAGTGGGGGAAAGATATTGGCAGAGATGCCCCTAGAGAGGGAGATGGAGTGGCAGACATAAAAGAGCCAGGAGGGAAGGGGGCAATGGCTATTTACCACTGCCTTCCTGCATGTGCCTTTCTATTCAGAGCCAGGTGTGAGGAGAGGGGTGCTGACTCAGGCAATCTTTTCACCATAAGAAAGTTTGGCTCAGGTCACACCTGTGGGGAGTAGAGTAGGAGAAGCCTATGAGGACATAAGCACTCAATATTCTGCAGGCTGAGTTCGGCACAGCCCCAGCTGCAGAATAGGGCAAGAGTAAGATGCTGAGCAGCTGCTTTTCCTAAATTGTTTAATGCAGGTTTCTCCTGTTACGTCACACCCCTCCCTGAGAACCCATTGCTCCACCTCCTTGTTTACCACCGGATATAAAAGACTTGGTGAAGGAGGATGGGAGGCATTTGGATGGGGGAGGTTTTTTGATGGGGGTTTTTGGCTGAAGGGAAATTGCTAAAGGGAAAAGAATTGCTGAAGGGGAATTGCCAAATGGGAATTGGTAAAGAGGGATTGATAGTTGGTTGGCAGCTTTCGAGGGAACTGTTGCTGAATGACAGGTCAGCTGTGTTTGTTTGCAAGTCTGAGGGTGGAGACTTTAAGAAAGCTAAAAAGAGAGAACATGGGACAATGTAAGTCTGCACCGAGACTTTTATACATAAGCTTTAGAAAATCTAAACTAAAGAGAGAACATGGGACAGTGCAAGTCTAAGGAAAGATTCTTTAAAGAACAGAAAAGCAAGGTTTTAAAGAAAGACTTTAGAAGCAAGGTTTTAAAGAATTATAAAGGAGTAAGGCCTTAAAGAATAAAAATAGAGAAGCAGAGTAAATGAGGAGAATAATAGAGAAAAGAAGCAATGAGGCTGTTGTGCATCTCCATCCGAGCGCCCAACACAACTGGCCCCAACTTTCTATCTGTCTATCCTTTGTCCTTTCTGCATCTCCCGTCGCCCCCAGTTAGGTTCGGTAGTAACAGGAGTGAGAGAAAGCTCGCTCCATCCACCTCTGCACAACTCAAGAGCTACCCACATGCAGCTATGCCTCCCAGAAAGGGCAGGATAGATGAGGAGGTGCTCCTGGCAGGAGTCCCTTTAATCCTGCCTCCCTGATGCCTGGTCCTTAGCAAATGTTCACCAAATATTTCCAAAGTGTAGGGATGAACTGTGGAGCCTAGGAGAGGCTGAGCTCTGTGTCATGTGTCAGCAGGTCCCAAAGACAGGAGTGTCCACTCCTACATGAAGAGCACATGTGAATTGTGCCTACAGGGGTTCCCCATCTGTGGGGCATCCACACAGGATATCTGATGAGAAGCTGGGAGGGGATTCCAGCATCAGATGGGCCAGGCACCCTTTTCAGAGCCTTCTGAGCTGTATCTAATTCTAGGTACAAGGATGAATGCTACTTAGCTGAGAGTAACCAGGCAAGACCAATGAGGAAAGCTTCACCCCTGGCCCAGGCCCAGCAGGCCCCCACTCTCACTCTGATCCTGAAGACAAGCTTAGGAAGCTCAGAAATGGTGAGCAGGCCTAGGCAGCAGAGTCTGGTCACTCCCAGGTTGGTGCCTATTAGAACCTGTCCTGAGCACAGCTATTCTAGGTCCCAGCTCAGACCTTTTCAGGCCAATAGACTAATTTTTTTGTGTGTGTGTGGTACTGGGGTTTGAACTCAGAGCCTATACTTTGAGCCACTCTGCCAGCCCTTTTTTTGTGATGGATATTTTTGAGATAGGGTCTCATGAACTACTTGCCTGAACTAGCTTCCAACTGTGAACCTCCTGATCTCTGCCTCCTAAATAGCTAGGATTACAAGCATGAGTCACCAGCACCCAGCTCAGACCTAATCTTAATGAGGTTTCATTTTTGTTCATTCCACATGACTCTTATCAAAGCCAATATCCCCAACTTAATCATCTGAAAATGCCCATGACTACATCAGTTGGGGGTTGGGGGAGAGGGGACACATATCAGTGCCCTAACAACATGCAGTGGCTATCACGGTCTCTGCCCAGCTGAAGATCAGGCTCAGGGGCCTTTCTCCTTTGCTTCCTGAGACAGGATGGTATTGGGCAAGGAGGACCATGAGAAGAAGCCACATTGCAGCCATCCCAGGTTTAAAACACACCAGTGCCAGGATGTGAATTTCCCAAAGTGCTATACCCTTCAGATACTAAACATTTAATACTCTATAAATTAATTGGCAAACACAAGCCAGCTGTCCTTGTTGGCAAACTCACAACATGCTGACCAAGCTCTTTCTCTGTGCTAGGTCCCTTGTTAGGTGTCAGGAATATAGCCCACATGGAGCCTGCTCTCTAGGGGAACAACAAACAAGTGATAGGGTCATTCACTCAGGTCAGAGCCACCAGGGGAAGTACATGTTGTTGTAGGGGCCCAGAGGACACCTTGAGCCCAAGATGGTGCAAGTGATAATGGAATGTCATCCCCATCCATCTCCCCCATCCCACCTCACTACCCCAGACAGTGTGGATGACAATGATGATGGTGATGGTGGCTCACATCTATTGAGGGCTTATAGTGTTTTAGGCATTGTCCTCAGTAGTCTCTGTACACTTTATCACCAGTCCTACCAACAACCCCTTGAGGCAAGTACTGTTCCTGTACCTGTGTTAAATTAGGAAACTGAGGCACAGGGAGGTCAGATAACTTGCTTAAGAACACACAGCTAGAAATTAGCAGAGCTCAGATTTGGAACATGGTCAGCAGCTCCAGAACCTGCATCCTTAGCCACTTGCAACTGTGGCTTCAGGCTGAGGGATGCAGGGAAATTAACAGCACCTGGGTGTTCAGTCATGGCAGGCAGTCTGTGGGTCTGAGAACAAAACCCAATCCCTGAAATCACCCGGGGTGGAAGAGAGTCTGGAGGAGTCAGGTGGTTGCTGTCCTGCCCCAATCCACTCATCAGGCCACCAGCTGGCTGTACAGCTGAGGATGCCAGGCTCAAGGTGAAGGGATAGGGCCATGAGAAAACCAAAGATGCATGCACAGGGGAATCAGCCCACAAAGGGCTGACAGGTTGAAAGGGGCAGATGGCAGCATTTGACTTGAGGGAAGAGTGATGTAGATGGGAGATCCAATCTGGGTCAAGGTCCAGATGCAGACGCCAGCAAGCAGCAGCCAGGTGGGAAGTCTGAGCAGAGGGTGAGGGAATCCTAACAAAGGCATGCAGGACACTTGAATGTAAGAAGGGTCACTGAGGAGACCCTGATGGCTACAGCGGTACTTTACAATAGTTACACTAGCTCACAGTGCACAAGTCCTTTTGGAGTGATGTCAAATCTGCTGAAGGGCACAGGTTTATAGACACAGGCCAAAGAGTCAAAGCTGATATAAAATCTAACTAAACTAAACATGAAGAGGGCTGGCAGAGTAGTTCAAGCAGTAAGAGTGTCTGCCTAGCAAGTGTGAGGCCCTGAGTTCAAACCCCAGTGCTGCCAAAGTAAATGAATAAATAAGTAATAAACATACAGAATATATAAATGGAACTTCATCTGATTATACATGGTGTTCAAGGCCCCAAATGTTCTGTTACTGGGTCTGGGGTAGCTGGAGCCATTTTTGGTCATGTTGTACATCAGTATTCTGCAAGCAATCCTAAAGACAGGCTAAAAAAGAATTCTACAAAAATGTGTATTTTTTAGCATGCCCATTCTCAATATGTGAAATCACAAGGCATTAGGGCAGGGTGTGGTGGTTCGTGCCTGTAATCCCATCACTCAGGAGGTGGAAGCAGGAGATCAAGAATTCAAGGCCAGCCTTGGCTACATACATCCTAAGCCACTGGTCTTAAAAAACAGAAAAAACAAATAGTAACTATTGGGTGGCTTGTTTTCAATTTTGAGTAAAATCCACATTTGCATACAATGTCATTCCAGAGAAGCCCAGATTATATTTTAATCAGGTCTCAAGTGCTGTCTCATGACTGCAGTATTACACTATTCTTTCCTAGGACTGACAGTGAAAACCACTAGGCCACTCAGCAGGCCCTCAGGTGCTGAAGGCCCAGAGGCCAAGAAGTACTGTTCCCTCCACTGACCTGATTAACCATCTGGTGCTGCTGGACAGTCCTCTTCTCCTTAAATTCTTCTGATTCAATTTTAATTTCATACATCGCCCCACAGCCTCCTAAAATAAACATGAGTCAAAGGGGTTTCAATTATTAAGCATGGCAGCCACAGTCCCAGGTGTCCTTCAAGTACTGTAAATTCCAAAGAAGGTCTGGATATTCTTATTCAGCATAAAGAAAAGCTTGCTAAGATGTGTAGAAAAAAATCATGACTTTGATCTGACCACTTACTTTTCCTGGCAGGCTGTCTCGACCCAAATGTGCTTTTCCCTTTTGCAAGACCAATGTGTTACCCAGGATTATTATGTTTGGGCAGGAAAGATAAGGCACGAGCACGGAAAGCATAGGGAATGTAGATTATTTCCTTTTAATGGGCCAAAAAATGCCATGGAAGGTGGGAAAGACTGAATTTCAGTATTCCATCTTCCAAAGGACCTGCAACTGTTTTTAAAAGTGCAAAAATATCCTAAAAGTTGGTTTGAAAATTGTGTTTGTAATTCTATCCAAAAGAACAGATGGATCAAGGAAGCATGAGAGCCAGGGACAAAAACTATGCTACGCTCAGAGCTGCTTGGGGTGGTCTCTGGCCCTCCTGGTCCACAGAACCGCCTCAGTGAGAGGAGGCTTCCTATGAAGTCATCCAGGCAGAGTTTATGGTGGGCCCAATCAGTCCTGCCCAAGCTGCAGAGCTGTTGCTGGGGCTGATGACATGTGCTATACTGGCACATAGGCAAGAGACTGTCTCCTGCACTGGGAACACTGGCCACCATATTAGAAGTAACAGGCTTTGTTTTGCCTTATAATGTGCTCTAGGAGTCCATTTTTGGTTATACCCAGGTTCCTGGCCCCAGTGAATGAAGACAGAGAAGGAAAATCACTCAAACTCAGTTTCTCCTTCTACACACAACATTGGCATTTCTGTGACCTCACAAGGTGGGGGAATTTCTCGTCACCAGAAAGCAAGCAATCTTGTACCAGCTGGGTGTCTTCCGAATCTAATCCAGTTAAGACATTATCTACCTGGTCTTGGATACCAGTCTCAAACTCCAGGTTGTTTTACCTGTGCTTTTGACCCACTGGGTTTTCCTACAACTCCCTCCTTGGGAGGTATTAATTGCTCAAGTGGGGGCTAATAAAATGGCTCAAGTGGTAGAGTGTCTGCCTAGCAAGTATGAGATTGAGTTCAAATCCCAGCACTGCCAAAAAATTAATTTTTTTTTTTGATCAAGTGGCTCATGGAACTCAGGTAATCTCTTAAATTTACTGGTTTATTGTAAAGGATATTACAAAGAGTACAGATGAAAAGATGCATAGGGCTAGGCATGGGAGAGGGGCATGGAGCTCCTATGCTGTGTCCAGGTGCACACCACCCTCCAGAAACCTCCTGTGTTCAACTGCCCTGAAGCTTTCCAAGCCCTGTCCTGTCAGGTTTTTAGGGAGACTTCATTACATAGGCATGACTATTAATAGACCAGGTGGGGGAAACCCAGCAAGGCCTATCCAGAATCTTCTGGGCCTCAATGCAGCATTCCTCTTCCAGAGTATGGGGCAGGGCTCTTTCTGAAATAGGGGTGTTTGCATCAGAGAACTTTATGGCTAGTTCTAAGACAGAAATGTAGGGGAAATCAGATTTTCTTTTTCTTTCTTTTTTTTTTTTTTGAGGTGGGGTATGTAGTCTCAATATGTAGTTCAGGTTAGCCTCAAACTTATGATTCTCCTGCCTTTGTAATAATCTGCCTTGGAAAGAGAAATTCTAGTTTCTCTGATCAGTCTTGGGGAGAAAGTTATGAATCAGGAACTGAGATTGAAAACCAATATATATCTTATATCTCATATATCTCACATTGACTTTCTTCAGTTTGTCTAGGACTGGGTAGCACCACACAGAGGGTCAAGTTCCAACTCTGCCCTGGGCCTGGCGCAGGTCCACCTCAGCCATCAACTGATGCACCAGTCCTGTGGATTAGTTATTTCCTAGTTTCCCCAGAAGAATCTACTTCTAAATGTTCTCTCAAACAGTGTAAATGTGCTCTCATGAGGGCAGTGAGCCCTCATGGCAACAGCAGCCTAGCGCATCTAGGTATGGAGATTCAGGCTGACGCCCATCTAGTTGCCTACAACTCTGCAGTTTCCCATATGTGTCTAGATAAAAGTCTATCTTCTGCCTGCTGTGGGTAAGGAAGCTGTTTCTCTAGCCTGCTCCTGACATACAGCCAGTCTGAACTTTAGAGGTGCAGTAGCTGCCTGAGGAAGGCAGGACCTGGCTAGTTAATAGCTGGGCTTAGCACAGAGTCTGCTCTGTGTCCTGGTTCTGTTTTTGATTCTATTGTCTCCTCCCTGGGAAGGTCTGTAAAGGTCCTTTGGCCTCTCTAGACTTGTCTGCTTGTGGGGAAAGTAGGGCTGTTGACAAAACCTGCCTGGGGCCCATTCTAGTTCTACCATTCTAGGGTAAGAAGAATGTGGGGAAATTAAAGTAAGGCCTATCTCACAGTCAAATGAGACTGTGGACCTGAGCTCTGGGTGACTAAGGGACCTCACCCCAGCATAGCCAGGCAGGCCATCTTGAGCTATCTCAGGGGAGCCTTGTATCCAGTTTCCCTCAGTATTTCTGAATCCCCACCTCTACCCTACCAGATCCAAGAGGCTGAGTTCTATTTGTCACAAAGCAATAAACATTGAGAAGCTGCTGGCAGCAAGTTCCCTCCTCCATGTCCCTTGCCCTCCGTCCCTCCACAGACAAAAATCTTACCAGAGCTCCATGGGGAGGATGAGAGAATTACCTGAAATGTCAGTGACTTTGATAGCTGTAGCTTGAGGAAACTTTTCTTTGAGAATCTGGGTGACTTTGAGCTCCCCCTCAGTCTGGGAGGCAAACATCCGACAGACACAGTGGAGAAGAGGAAGCTGCCACAGAACAGAGAAAAGGACCATGACACCACGAGATGATGCTACCCCTGGGAAGGCCAGTTTAGACCCCACTGGCCACTCTCCAGTGAGACAGGCCCTGGCCCTCACCAGCAGAGTCACAGGATGTCAGAGGGGCTATGTGGTGTCAGGACCCCCTAATTCTTTTTTGGGAGAGGTAGGGTTGCCAATTGTAAATAACTCACTTTGTTTCTAGAGACAACAATGCCCCAGGCCTACTTCATCAGATATTTAACTCCTATAACAGAGCTGTGAGACACTATTCTGACAAGTTTTATAGGTGAGGAAACTGAGGCACTAAACAATGTGCCAAAGGTTGGATCTATCAGTAAGATGAACAGCCAAAGGAGAGGCCTAGCAGCCTCCCTCAGACCTGTCCTGCTAGGCCACTGTGGCATTGACCATTCACTGTTCTACCCAGTGAAGCCAAATTCTACCCATCCTTGAAGCCTGATTAGCATTGTGACCCACTGCCAGCTCCCTTCCCTCAACAATGCACTAACTCTCACTGGGGAGAAGAGGAAGCATTTTGTTAAATGACCTGAAGAAGGGACACTTTTAGATTATTCACAATTGACAACCTCTCCCTACCCACAAACTTTCCTGGATGGCAATCATGGGAAGCCAGTGCTCGGGAAGGAGTACATCTAAACCCTTAGAAGGAAAGGAACAGAAAATCAGGTTGGCAGCCTCTTGGCTGACTAAGCACATTCTGAAAGGAAAGATTGAAAACAGCCTATGTCAGGTCTTGAATGCCAGCTCTCAACCTGGAGTTGTTGAATAGTATGACTCCAGGTGATATGATCTGGGTATCTCAGTACCACAGTAAGCTGCAGAAAACAGTGGCTTATGCAGGTGGGCAGGAGAGACACCAATAACAGGCATTAGGAAGGGAGAAGCACCAGGTGCTGGTTCCTGCTGGCACTGTGGGGCAGGTGAGGGAGTACCAGGGCTGTTAGCAAGTGTTGGTGCTGAAGGTGCCACCCATCACCTCTTAGTCCTGCCTATCCTCAGGCCTTTTCTGATGGCCCAGAGCAGGGTGCTTTTATAGAATCTCAGGGTTGTGCACTCCTCTTTCACCTGCTGGCCAAGATGGAGTCTATCCTTCTACAGCAGCATCCCAGAGCTGACCTAAGGACGGGCACTCCAAAGCACCTGGTGATGGATGAATGATTGAATAAGCAGATTAGGGGCATGCCCACTGGGCATAGGCAACGAAGTCTTGCAGGCAGTTGAAATGCAGGTCAGGAGAAAGGTCTGGAGTTAGAAGGTTTGTGTGCTCAACAGAGAGACAGACACTTGATGTGTCTGTCTGACTGTGTGGGATGGCAGGGTTGGAGTTGGAGTTGTTTCTGGGAATAGAACCTTGAGGGGCAAAGGCCAGAAGGCAAGCAGAGTGGGCAACTGCTATGGGGTGCGGGTAGTAAGCACTGCAGAATTCTTGGAGAAGTCTATCATCTTTGCAGGCCCATGGGGTGGCTCCTGTTAACAGACTGACAAAATCCAGAGATGACCAGTGCTCACGCTGACAGTCACCGGCGGTAGAACTCCCAGCGTGGGTAGGAAGAAGAGAGGCAGGTTCAAGATATCAACAGGAAAGTGAGAGGAAAAAGAAATGGATGAGTTGAAGTATAACTAAGCCAGAACAAAGGTAAAGAGAATTAGGAGAGTGCGAGGGGAGTGCCCTCTGCTGGGCTTCTCTCAGCAGCAGGCTTTGGAGGGTCAAGGTCAGAGGTCCCGGGTGACCGTCCCAGGGCGCAGACCCCTCCGCAGTGCTCCGCACCCACGCCTGCTGCACCCACGCCTGGACTCCGAAGTTTTCCACTCCGTAAACCAATTTTCTCTCCTGTGCCCGTTGTACTGGCTACCCATGTGTCTGTCCGCAGGCCCCCCACCTCCACCCAGACTCGAAGCACCCACCCCCAGAAGGCGCCAGGGCGGCGGCTCCCCTCCGCACACCCGGCGTGGAGTGAGGAAGGGGTAAATTAATGAATGAGAGGAAGGAAGGGGTGGTCCGCCGCCCCCCACTCCTCCCCCACCCCAGGGCGCGCCCTCCAGCCCTGACAGCAGCTGGCCCGGGTTCCCCCGCAGCTCTGCCCGGGGGAGGGCAGCCCGCTCACCCCGCTGCTCCCGCGGAGCAGAGGCGCTGCCGCCACCGGGCACCATGCAGCCATACCCGGCTGACGCAGCCCGCCACCCGAGGTCGCCGTGCGGTCGAAAGGCGCAGAGCTCGGGCGCAAGGACTGCAGCCACGGGCGAGGCCGCCCTCTGCTGCCCGGAGGCCCGCAGCCCTCCCGGCCCCGCCCCTCGACGTCCCCGCCCCGCGACGTCCTTGCTCTGCGACCTCGCCGCCGGCGAAGAAAAGCAGCACCTTGTGGCTTCGCCGGCTTCCCAGGGCCTGACTCAACCACTGCGTCCTCAAAATCGCTTTTCTCCGCGGCTAGGAACGCCAGACTTTCCTTGTCCCAATCCCTCCACATATGGGACTCGTGGAGGAATTTAGGCGGGAGAGTGGCTCTCCGGTTTGCGTCTTAGACAGCTCTCCCAGGCTTCTGTGGGTAAGCGGGGTTTGGAGCCAGGGTTCTGCAGTATTCAGGTGAGGCATGAGAGGCCTGAACTAAACCAGAGGCAGGAGGGATGGGTGGCGTGGGGGTGACAACTGCTCCCAACTTTTAGTCTTGGGCAGTGGGCTAGATGGGGGCTGAGGGAGACAACAAATTCAAATTGGATTTGCCCGAATTTGAGGAGCCAAATGACACTATCCAACAGAGGCCTAGGTTGGAATCACGACGTAGGGAAGCTGATGCCTTGAGGAATGGGTAACGCCAGCAAACCCGCCCTCGTCTGGAGTTCTGTCAGACAAGTCAAGGCCCAAACTGGACCAGGCCCTTTCTCCCTAGCTGAAGTGGTTTGCAGCATGTGGTCTCGTGCTACCCTGAAGGATTCATCAGCTTTTACCATTGCACTCCAGCCTATGCAGTCAGTCCTCCAGCCTTGCACCTGGAGCGATTGGACCCACATTTGTCCTTTTAAGTGACTTAACTAAAAATATGCTCAGTCATTCCAGTGTTAATTGAGTGACTCCTATGTACCAACCTTCATCATTTCTCCTTCAAATTAGTTAATAGAGACATTTTCTGCTTGACTTTTTAAAGCTACAGTTAGTGTGGCTAGGGATAATTTAACTTTAAATTTTTCCTCACTGGTGTCAATGTCACAATTAAAACTGTCAAAAAATTTTCTCCCCAGAAGTGAACCATCATTTGCTATTCAAACTATTCAGTTGGGATGAGACAGACCCTTCCCCAGCTCTAAGAGTGAACACATCGCCAGGGTCTGGCTAACTAGATGGGAATTGGTTTAGGGCTGATCACATGATGGGAGCCAGCTCAATGAGTTGGTCCAAGGACTTGTCTGGAACTAAAGTGATGCTAACGCACAGGAAATCAATGTGAGTCAATACCCTGTATAGCTATCCTTATCTCAACCGGCAAAAACCCTTGTCCCTTCCTGTTATTGCTTATACTCTCTACAACAAAATTAGAAATAAGGGCAAAATAGTTTCTGCTGGGTATTGAGGGGGTGGGGGGGAGAGGGAGGGGGCGGAGTGGGTGGTAAGGGAGGGTGTGGGGGCTGGGGGGAGAAATGACCCAAGCCTTGTATGCACATATGAATAATAAAAAAGAAAAAATAATAAAGTGATGCTAATACTAAACAGGAAGTATGGAGCTGCTTTGGAAATGAAGCATTCACAGAAGAAAGGAGAGCTAAGAGGAGACAGGGATTTGACTTTGCTTGTGCAAAGAAAGCAGTAATGCTGGAAATGAGCACTAAATCCAGTTCAGATGGCTTGTCACTTGTAACTGAATAACCCAGGTTAAGCTCATAGATTTTTATTTGTAGAACTCATCTTTTCCTTTTACTAAAAGTGATACTTTTGCTTACTCCAACTTTCCTTTTCCCAGTAATTTAACTATAACCACATAATTCTGTGACAACCATTTGAGTCTCTGCCCTACCCTGCTTTCCTTACCCCATTTCCACATGGCTGTCAAGATCATCTGAAATGAAAATATTTACTACCTAAAATCCTTCAGGCAGTCCCCATTACCTATAGGCAATAACTGAACTTCTTTCCTATGATTTAATCCCTATCTACCTATCTGTCCGGCTGAAATCTACTCTTCAGGAATACTGGCCTACTGGCCCCTTCCTGTACAAGTTATGCCAAATGAGCTTCCTGTATAACCTATGAGCTTGGTGACTCAACTGTTCATGTCTTATGCCTGTTGTCTTTTCCATGGTCCACCTGTGACCACCTCATAGAAAAAGTAGGGCCTGAAACTTTTATTACACTTAGAGCCCTTTAAAACTATCAATTTGTCTTTTTCCATTGGTCTGTAAGGTCCATGAAGCTCTTGCTTTAGTCATCTGTCAACAGCCCTGCATGGCATAGGACAAAGAGTGCATGCACTGTGATTATTGAACATAACCGACAGGGGTTTAGCAATTTGAGCTCCGCAAGTTTGAATTTGATCTTTTATAGAAATCATTTTTTGGATACTCTCACCAGTCTTGGCCTTCCAAAAGAGTTCTAATGTAACAATTCAAATACATATTTTTATAACAGAACAAAAGGTGAGTTTTTACTTTATTTTTTTAGCTATGAACTTGAGATTTTTTTATCTTAATTTTTATTAATCCACGATTACTCTGACCTTTCATAAAAATATTTACATTTGAGCTAACAGCAGAAAACTCCTTACGTAGCATCTCTTTGGATGCACCTTTACCTCGCTGGATTTTTAATTGCAGTCATTTTTATAGACTCTTACCACTCTTGAGCATCAGAATTTTTGCATATTCAATGCAAAAAAGCTTACTATATATTAGTTATTTGAATTTGTCTGCACTTTTGTGAAAAACACTAAAATACTGCACACCTCTCAACTGCTACTACTTCCCTAGGCAACAATAAGGGTTAAATGAGGTAACCTACCAAAAGACTTCCCTAAAACAGATTTGTTTCCCCAAGTGCTGTTTCCCCAGTCCAAGTGCTGGTTGGTCACAAGTCACTTGGCTGGAATCTAAACCAGTAATTATTTCCTTCACTTACAAAGTCTGCTGCAAAAAGTCAGCTGAGCTAAACGGTGCACTTGGTTACCTGCATTCTGATGAAAACACATCTTTTCACAGAACAGGAACAAAAGGCTTACAGAGCAGACAGTCTAGACTTCTGGACCACCTAGTATTTTTTTAAAAATTTTCACTGTTGAGTTCCACAGCCCCAAGTAAAACCCAGAAATGTCTTCCCAGCCTCTCTTGCAGCCAGGATAGAGGTAAATGACCTAAAGTCTACCAGTAAGAGGCATTCATGTTAAGTTTTTGATCAGAAAACTGATCAAGAAGAAAGTGCTGAATAAAGTCCTTTATTCTGGCCATGTCAGAGGCTTTTAGGAGACACTGCTGGGGACACTGACATCTGGTGGGGAGCAAGAGTGGTGCAAGCAGTCAGTAGTGTCCATATTTAGGGGAGACACCATCAATGGGTATTTGCTCCAAATGGCCCAAAACATGATCTATATATTCTTCTTGGCTGTTGTGCCTCAAAGCCTGACTCTGGCCTTCCTGAAGATTATCTGGTTTAATCTATTTCATAAAGTTTGAAATAGCTTTCGAAAAAAGTAATTAGATACCCTTACAAACATTTACGCCTACTGAAACTCTTAAAAACAATTCTACCACTGCTTCTTTTTTTCTCTTTGCAGTACTGGGGATTGAACCCAGAGCCTTGTGCATGCTAGGCAAACACTGACCCATTGAGCTACATCCCCAGATCCTAGCTCTGCTTCTTTAATTAGACCTAAAATGCACCTGTTCTCTCTAAAACTAACAATGATGTACAAAGATAACTTCCCAAATTTAAGTTGTACTCAAAATCCACAGAACCTGAAATAAAATCTCAATTTTCAATGTTTAACTAGAAGTGTGTTGAGACATAGTCATTTTTTTGCTTTCAATATTTTATTCTGATGAAGTTACAAAAGTAGATACAAAATACTTTTTTAAAAAGTAAGTTAACTGACTTAGAAAAATAGATAAAGCCCCTAAAGGTTTAAAAATACAACATAAATTTTTATGTAAAGAACATTTAAAAATATTTTAGATGGTAACAAAGACTAATTTATGCAAACTACTTTTGATGTAGACTTAAACACAGAATGTCTTTCTACAATCAGTCTATAGCACACTGGTCATCCATCTGGATTTACAGAATACTTGTCTGAAATAGAATCTGATGAGAGAAAACTCAATTTCAATGCAGTTGCTTTAATAAAATTACTGTTGTCACATGTGTTATCATCCCCCAAGCCTTTTATAGCCCCCCAAAATAAAAATTAAATGCAAAAATAGGAAAATCAAAGGACTACTATTTTCCCTCTTTGCCAGAATTCTACAATAGTAGAAACCAAATCCACTTACTGAACTGATTTAAGAAAAGAATGTGCCTAGTGAAGTGAAAAGAATGTGCTCAGTGTTTGGTGTCCAAGCCAGCATCTTTCTGGTCAGGGTTCTATACTTAGATGACAACTTAAGAGGGGACAGCCTCCATAATGAGGCAGGACAATCTCAGCATCACAACTGGGGATGCTTACAAACACATTTCTAGGAGTTACACTCTTTTGGCCTGACTTGTTTATGCTTCTGAGGTCATGGCATCATGCCTGAGAAGCTGCACCTCTAGTATGACCTTGCTGCTCAAGAGAGAAGCCAATGATATAATCAGGAAACCTCAACAAGGTCTGTGAAAGTTATCACACCTGGATTACTCCTCTTGCCTCTGCACTACTATAAAACTTTTTCTGCCTTATCAAATCATGGAGAATACAGATGTGCATTTCTCAAGTAAGCAGCCTTGTGAACTAGGGCTCTGCAAGTCTAAGATGAAATGAATATCTTGTTAGCTGGCAGCCTGTAAAGTCACTATATTCACAATCTAAAGAATAAAGGATACATTTGGCTGTCAATATAAAAACTATGGTACAAGGAAGTGTGATTATTTAAAAAAATCTGTATATCACTTTCCAAGTTTTTTTTTTTAAAGGCCTGAAAATTAAAGCACCACAGCATTAACTACATAATTTAGAAAGCATTCTCCATCCCATGATTGTATGAGGAGCAGAGATTGAACACAGAGAGATGACTTCTGCTTAGGAGGGGAAGAGCAGGGAATATTGTAGAATAAGCAGACCCCGGGCATGGGCAGATAAATCCAAAGTGAAGAATCCAAGACACAACTGATTTCTTCAAATGCTTGTTAAAGGATGGCTCTCTGGCCATGTCAGGCAGGTGCCATCCTCTTCCCATTCTCTCCCCTTCCTCCAGTTCTTCTCCTGCCCTTGGAAGTAAACAAGCACTGCAGTGTTTAGGTACTTTGTTGGTTAAGCCAGACTGGTTTTGGGAACCTGGTAATGTTTTCATTAAAAAGAAAAGAAAAACAACAAAAAAAGATATTCTGAGTCTCAAATTGCCAACAAACTTTTGATTTATGTTCCATTCATAAGCTGCCTTTACTACTGTCCTAGAATGTGACCACCTTTGGTTTATTTTGGAGGTTAGTCATGAAGAAAGAGAGGATCTCTATCATTGAAAATATATAGAGAAACTGAAAACCCTTACTTGAAAATATTTGAAATACTAGAAATGATGGTGAAAGTATAGTCCTCATTGAGAAATACAATTTCATTCCTTGGAGATTTAAAAAGAAAATAAAACCTGACAGAGTTTGTAGGTGACATGATGGCTAGAAACCTGCTTTCCTATTTGCAAATGATCAACGTAAGTATGCAGAGTGCTGTCATTTGGTCCTTGGATAAGTATAAAATGTGGATTGTGGAATGTTTCATAGAAGGCTGTCCTCTTTTTTTCCCTAAGTTATTAACCCACTCTTGAATACCTCAAACAATAATGTATGGCTTCTAAATTAGATGAAATACTTATTTTAAAATTCTACTTATGAACTTATGAAAATGAGTTATTAAAAATGGAGTTTCTAAATAATTCTTCAGTCTATTGGAATGATAAAATAAATAACAATAACCTTATCAAATCTAACCTTTATCAAAGTCATAAAGGAGGTTGGTGAATACTCTGCAAAACCACAGCTCTGAAACAATGAGTGCTGACAGCTAAAACTTTGCCAGCCTGGCAAGTTTTCCAGGATACTTCTTATGCCTTGCATACATTTTAAGAGACAGCTAAAATTTACTAAATCTGAAAAATAGGCAAGTCTTCTTCACTAAAGGGGAAGATTCTTTTATCCCAATAGAAAAGAATTCCAAATTTTGATACAAAAATAATTAAAGCAGTATAAAACCCCTATAAGGGCTCAGTCCATCCTTTAAGCACTAACAGAATGAAGTTAAGATTCTTTTTTTTAAACTTATTTCTCTTATTTTGTCTCCTTTAAGCTAACTTTCTTTCTCCCCCAAATAGACAGCAAATCTACTGAGGTACACCCTGAAAGATTTTATTATGTTTTTAAGTTTTGTCTTTATTGGGATAAAATCTGTGCATTTCTACACTACTCTTACAAATTCAGTCTCAAGTCACAACAAAAATATAGAGGTAATTTTTTAGGAAACAAAATAAAGAAGTATGCTGAGTACTTTCTTTTGCTTTCTTACCCAGAATTGTAAGGCCTCTTAAAAACAATTAGAATAAAAACAGTGGCTCTGAGGCCTAAGTAGGTCAATTTTTTGACATTTTCTTTTTCTCAGCCAAAAGCAACATATATTAATGTGCATGAAGCATTTCAAAATTAAAACCTACAAGATCCTTAGAAGCCATAAAAAATTATTTCTGATACACACACACTCCTAATAATTTAGACAGATGTGAACACAATTCCAAATAAAGATTTTTTTTAAAAGTCACTTTAAAAATAATTTTGATTAATCCCATTCCAACATATGTCTTATGATAAGTTAAACTGCAATCATGGATTTTGAACAAAAAAAAAAAAAAAAAAAAAATTTTTTTTTGAGACAGGGTTTCACTAAGCTGCCCAGCCTGGTCTTGAACTTGTGATCCTGCCTCAGCCTCCCAAGTGCTGGGATTACAGGTGTGTACCACCATGCCTGGCGAAAAACGATATATTCTTATCTATAAAACACTAGCATACAAACTTCAAACTAAAAGGCTATCTAAAGTGACACAGATGTTCTATTGTTAAGGAAACTTTAAAAAAAATTTCTATTCATAAGATAAAAGCAGAATAAAACCTATATGACTGTGTTATTAGGAAATCTGTTCTAGAAACCTGTTAATAAATTATTGCTGAAAATTCTTAATGTCCGTTATGCTATCACCAGAAACATACTCAATCGCTTTCTTGAGTAAAACAGTAAGGAAACAAGCTACAGGTTAGTCATCATGTTACAGTCAAGAATGACTCTGACAAAACAGGAGTGGTCACATAATACCTCTGACTTGGCTGTGTCCTTAGGGTTTCACTCTGAAGCTATTAGGTCAACCTACCTTTGGGACAATTTTATCTGAAGATACAGACAATGGGTGTTTTTTTATCTTATTTTTTTGTTTGTTTGTTTTAGCACTAGCTTATACAAGATAGCAATGAGATAGCACTAGCAATAGAAGAACCAAGAGGGTAACTGTGTTCTAGGAGAAACATTTATCTGTCTTTTGATCCAAGCTTCTCAATTAATTCCTGAAGAGGTGCCAACTCACGCCTATCGATCAGATTAAACTCCTAAAAAGAAAAGAAAAATAAAATTTAAAAATGGACCTAAATGAAAATTCTTTTCTTGGTTTTAATAGTACTGGGGTTTGAACTCAGGGCCTCATGCTTGCTAAGCAGATGCTCCACCACCCCCAGCTTTTTACTTTGTTATTTTTTTCTAACAGGGTATTGAGTTTTTGCCAGGGGCCAGACTGAACCACAGTCCTCCTACTTTTGCCTCTCACCTAGCTGACATGACAGGTGCATGCCACCATGCATGGCTTATGGGTTACAATGGGGTCTCACTTTTTTTTTTGACTAGGCTGTTCTTGCAATTTTCCCAATCTTCACCTTTCAAGTAGCCGAGATTACAGGAATAAGCCATCATGCCTGGCTAAAATCATTTTATTTTTGTGGTCCTGAGGACTGAACTCAGGGCCTCTCAATTACTAGGCAAGTGCTCTACCACCTGAGCCACGATCCAGTCCATCTTTAAATGTTTTTAAGGGAAGGGATTCCCAACCCTAGTTTTCAGAAATCAAAAAGAAAGCTCATATGATCTCAATGAACATTTAAAAAAACAATTGTTTTTACTTTCTTTTTAAAAACACAGATATGATATTGTGATATATACTGACCTTTCTCCATTTCCTGATATATAGCTCCTAAAATCTTTGGAATTTCTAGATTGACAAGAGTATCTCTAGTGTGCTACTGAGATGGATGGTAGCTGGGGGTCTCCTTGGAGAATATCAGGATGGGGCTGGTCACCAGAAAGACCAAAGCATGATTATGACAGTTTTGGGATTTTCACCCCACTCCATCCTCAACCTCTGAGGAGACGAGAGGGACTAAAGGGTTGAATTTATCACCAATGGCCAATGCTGATCAACCACAGCTAAGTAATGAAGCTGCTATAAAAACCCCAAAGGAAGCTGGGCTTCGATGGCTCACTCCTGTAATTCTAACTACTTGGAAAGCTAAGTTTGGGAGGATCGCAGTTTGAGACCAGCCAGGGCAAATAGTTCTCCAAAATAACCACAGAAAAAATGGACTGAAGGCATGCTCAAGTGGTAGAATGCCTGTTTTGCAAGTGTGAAGCCTTGAGTTCAAACCCCAGTCCCACTAAAACAACAAAAAACCCCCAAAGGACATGGTTTGGAGAGCTTCTGGATAGTAGAACACACAAGTTCCCAGAGGGTTTCTTGCCTGGAAAGGGATAGAAGCTTCACATCCCTTTTCCTATGAATCTCTTCCATCTGACTGTTCATTTGTGCACTCTGCAATATTGTCTAATAAGTCAGTAAGTGTGTTTCCCTGAGTTTTATGAGCCACTTTAGGAAAATAATCAAACTCAAGGAGGGTATTCTGGGAACCCTGATATGCAGCAGGCAGATCTGTCAGAAGTATAGGTGAGAACCACTGGCATCTGAAGTGAGCAGCAAACTCATGGGACTGAGCTCTCAACCTGTGGGATCTAATGGCTGCTTCCACATAGTGTCAGAGTGAATTGAGTTAGATTAGTGGACACCTAGCTGATATTCACTAAAAAAATCAATTGCTTGCTTGGTGTATATGGAAAAGATCCCACACATTTGGTCATAAAGTGCTCTATGTAACAGGAGAAAATGAGTCCTTATAATATGGGATTTATTAAATAAACAACTATAGGTATCAGTATGATTCTCCCTGTGTTAAATATTAAAAGCAACACTTTATATGTATGTGTTTGTGTGTTTGAATTTACATAGAAATAACCTGAAACTACAAACTGAACCTTTGACAATAGCCACCTGTCACACAGCAGTGGACTTTTTACTTTTATACAAACACATACACACATGCATGCAACAGTCTCAGAGGGAAGATCAAGAAGAGCATGGTATGTTTTCCTTTGTGTTGTATACAGAACTATAATGCACAATATCTACTAAAAATGCTATCTAGTAGTCATTTATATTATGTATATAGAATTACATAGCTATAAAGTTAAGCTAAATGAATCTTCATTCTTTGACTTTTTTTTTTTTTTTTTTAAAAGAGAGTTTCACTAGGTAGCCCAGGCTGGCCTGGAATTCACAATCCTCCTGCCTCTGCTTCCAAGTGCTGTGATTACAGACATGCACCACCATGCCCAGCCAATTCTTTGGTATATATATTTCAAAAAATATGAATTATTTTGATTTTGATTTTTGAAAGCTCCAATTCTAACTAAGTGCTGCTAAGGCCACATCTCTGAATGATGCCTTTTTATGCTGCTGTACAGACCAAAGGAAGAATGTTGAAAACAAAATAAGACACACTGCTCTCTTTAAAGTTACCAATCCAACTAAATCTAAATCACAGGACCCACAAGTCAAAGTGGATCACTTACCTGAACAAAGAAAATAAAGTGCTTAAAGGAGGTATTGAGGTGGGCTTCCTCTTGCAGCTGCATCACAGAATCAAAGTGCTGGTGATAAATATGGGCATAAACCCTGAAGAGACGCTTTAGAATGGTTTTTGCCACAGACATAAAGTTTTTGGGAAATGGGACACCTGTAATCAAATATATATACTATCAGTTAGTCTTTTTCTAAATGAATAGTGGCAAATCTTGACACTGCTATGAGCAACTGCAACACAAGAACACACACACTTACAAATATATACAAGCCTATTTCTGTATATTTAAAAGGTGAGGGAAAAAGACCCCAAACCTCACATACCACACTTTTTTCTAATTGACTTAAACAGAAGGCACAGATATCAGATTACATAAGATACTAGAGAATCAGAGTTTAAATAAACATAATTTCAGTTAATATTAGAGTTTCTTCCTAAGAGTAAATTCAACAAAAATAAGTATTTTAATAATAAATAGAACATTACTTTTGAAATTTTAACTCTTCAAAAAAAAAGAAAATGTGTATACACCTATATACATGTAGAACACATACTCAATTGGGAGTAGAAACTCTCCTAGGCAAAGATAAAGACAGACACTGTGAGTCATTACCATCATCTTCATATAAAAAGTGGGCTGCAGGTGTGGCTCAAGTGGTAGAGTACCCATCTTGCAAATGCCAAAAAAAAGAAAACCTGTTACAGGTAAAAAGTATTTATCTTTTGAATTACTCAGTCTTCATTTTCCTGTAGCCTAAAAAGAGGAAATGCTTCCTGAAAAAGGGATGGACACACCTCCCTATATAAATACTTTGTGTGTGTGTGTGTGTGTGTGTGTGTGTGTGTGTGTGGTGGTGGTATTGGGGTTTAAACTCCGGGCCTTGTACTTGCTAGGGAAACACATGTTTAGAAAAGAACTGTGGGAGGGTTTGGTGACCTCTCTCCAAGCAATGGATAAAGATGAGGATGCAACTGATTACATTTCTGAGAATTTTGGTTGACAAAATTAAAATCTCTTAGAAAACAGACAAGAGAAAGACAATTCAGCTGGCACTAGTTTCAGTAAATAAAATGCTAAGAAGGCATCTGCTTTCAGGACAACACAGATTGGTCAACCTTAAAAGTCTGTTCCACAACACTACTCTTGAGAAACACCTTCTTTTATCAACCTGAATTTCAGGAAACAAATACTTATTATATATGCTAATAAAAATTGTTTAAAAAAATAAAAAACAAAGGACTAACAGGACAAGATAAGAAGGCAAATATAACAAAATATCCCACAAAATAAGACGAAGGCAACTTGGGAATAAAATATATACAATAGGTATGAAAAAGAGCTAAATACCCTAATAAATAAACAGAAAACAATCAATGATCAATAAACCCAAAAATGCTCAATCTCATCAATATTTTCAAAATGTATATTAAAACAAAAATTTATTTAAAAAAATTAAAAAGATTTAACAATGAGTAATAACCAGTGTGGTGAAAAAACACAGGCAGGCACAACATACTGAAGAGAGTACACACTGGTATGAGCTTTTTGGAGAAGAATGTGGCACTCTCTATTAAATTATTTTGAAATAGTAAGAGTATTAAAAAGATTATATCTATCATTCAGAAAGAAAAATAGTTATATAACATCAACTTACCAATCTTAGAAGGAAAAAGTGTTTCATCATCAAGCTGATCCTGAACCCAAGTCATCAAATAGTCAATGTATTTTGGTGCAGAACATTTGATTGGCTTTTTAATATTGGTACCATCTGCCCAATGATATTCATATCTGGAGAAAAAAAATGGCTTACTGATAGTTTTCAAAAGCCTGCTTAATGTGTGCAACTTATAGTCAAAGCAATTTAGTTTTGTCAATAGAAGTTATATGTAGTTTTAATAAAGTTCTAGTGACGATTACCGTGAGTTCACTATGAAATCATAAAATGTGATGGTTATAATTAGAAAAGAACAGGAAGACAACACAGCAGCAGGCGGTAATAGAATGGATGTTTTATATGACAGCACTGGGAAAGATAAACTGCACTCCTATTTGTAAAGCAGAAGGATACTAAGGACTGGGCAAGGATGTGATGGATCCACTGTACTTTTGAGATCTTTGTTCATAAACTGTCATCAGTGGAGCCAAAATTGTAAAATCCTGTTTCTTGGACAGGGCTAGAACAACAAGATTTATGCAAAAGATCATAGTGTAGAGCATTTAAGCCACAGACAAACTTAAATTTTCTGTTTTCTTCTTTTTTGGTAGGACTGGGAGGATTTGAACTCAGGGCTACACACTTGCAAAGCAGGTGCTCTACCACTTGAGCCATTCCACCAGCCCTTCATTAAAATCTTTAAAGGTGATTTTCCCTGTTACAATCTTTAAGAATCTGTATTATATCAGCTTGTTTTACATCAAATCCCAAGGCTCTCATTACCACCTTTAATTCATGGTAATCTACTGCTTCACCTTTATATTGCATCTTCATTTATGTTCTTCAGAGAGTTCTTTTTTTCCTCTTTGCTTTGTACCTACTACAGATTCACTTCTCAGAGCTACCCTCATTTTGTCTTCAGACAGACATTCCTCTCAATGATTTTAACCCCTTCCCCAATGCAGCAAACTTTAATCTAGCATTTTTAAGTCAGATGATTGCCTCTAAATTGTGCTTTCATTAATACTAAATGAGCACAAGAAAAAATAAATATTAAAGACCAATAAAAACTCTTCCAAGAAATTCATTGAAAAACTAGCATAAGAAAGATAAATGCTAATCAAATGGAGAAAAAAACCCAAAACTTTTGGTATGCAAGATAAACATAACTCAAATTTATATACTTTACTCCTATAATTGAATATTTAGACTTACTATGATGCAGTATTAAAAATCAAACACTAAGTATCCACATAGAAAAGTATTTAATAAATATACTTGAGTATTTGAAAACTAAAACGAATTACCTTCATATAAACAAACATAATAAAATCAATGTCTTAATTATTTAACTTACATCAATTAGTAATAAAACAAAAATAATCCAAACACCTACAAAACAGGCTGTTTATGTACCTGGGACCTGCAGACATGACTGGACAGCTTGCTTCAGTGCAGAATTCTGTAATAGTTCCATATAACATGTTGATTTGGTTGAAGAAATCCACAGCTGCAGAGATAACAGCAGAATTGTGTTAAATGTCCACATAAACATAACAAAAATGTCACATTTTTCAGCTGAAGCAAAAATGAGGTGGGGGGTCTTGAGATGAGGGTCTTGCTATGTTGCCCAGGCTGGTCTCAACTTCCAGGCTCAAGTAATCCTCTTGTTTCAGCCTCCCAAGCATCTAGGACTATAGGCATGCACCACCATGCCCAACTAAAAGTTAACTTTTAGCAGAGAACCAGTGGCTCACACCTGTAATTCTAGCTACTCAGGAGGCAGAGATCAGATTGCAGTTCAAGGCCAGCCGGGGAAAACAGTTCGAGACCCTATCTCTAAAAAACCCATCAACACAAAAAATAAATAAATAAAATAAAAGTTAACTTTTAATATATTAAACTTTTAGCCAGCATGTAACAATAGGAAAATAAAATACTGGAACAAATTCTAACTTAATGGTGATTGGCAATCATTAGAATATATCATTTGATTATATCTAATGAAAAATCCAAAACATCTTCTCAATCATATCCATTTAATACCATTTATTAGGAAAGAAAAAAAAACTTTTAGAATATACTGTGAGGGAGAGGTGTACCAATTTTATCAATAGACAGACATTTAAAACATCTAATTCAAAATAAACATTTGAGGTCTCTGGAATATTAAGGACATAAAAAGACTCGAGACCAAGTCTTTTGCTCTGGGGTTTCCAGGTAACAAAATGGACAAAATTAACAGAGATGAGTAAGACAAGATATAAGAAGATTGGACCCAAACATTGACAATCATTGCTAGAAGTTCAGAGAAAAGGCAATGTCAAGAAGAGCTGAGGTGGTCAGGGAGTATATTTTAAAGCAGCATCAGCTAGATGTGGAAGAGAAAGGAATTAAATAACAAACTTGACTGAGTGAAGTATGTGTAAGGGGAAGTATGTAAAACTTGGAAAGTTTTGAAAAATGTTCTAGTCCTCCTGGAGGATCTCAAAATTAGCTAGAGCTTTTCTAAGATTCTTAAAAAATAAATAGATAAAAAAAATCCCACCTTGCCACAAGGAATTTTATATAAAACTCCCTCACTTTTAAACCTTCCCCTTAATTAGTCATGTTCTAAGAAAGTAATACTTAGCCCTGGAGATTCTCACAAAACAAGAACATACCCAGATGGTAGCTAGTTTGGTTGAAAGAAGCTATTCTCAAAATGTGCTGCAGGGATCCTGTTTCGGAGGGGATCTGTGAGACCAAGACAATTTTAATTATTCTTTTCACTCTCATTCTCAAGAGGACCCAGTGGAGTTCTCCAGAGGATCCACGGTATCACAAGAGAGTGAATGCAGAAGCAGAATCCAACTGTCATTAAGACATTAAATAAGATTCGCAAAAATATAAAACAAGGCCATGCTTCTCCTTAAAATTTGTTTTAGAAAACAATCATTTAAAAATAATATATATATGTATTTGGTGGTACTGGTATTTGACCTCAGGACCTCACACTTGTCAGACAAGTGCTCTACCACTTGAACCACCCTGCCAGCCCTTTTTTGTGTTGGCTATTTTAGAAATAGGGACTCTAAAACTATTTGCCCAGGCAGGCCTCAAACCATGATCCTTCTGATCTCTGCCTCCTGAGTAGCTAAGATTACAGAAGTGAGCCACCAGTGCCCAGATAAATAAAAATATGTTAACATATGATGGGCTTACTGTTATTTTTTAATGAAATAAAAAGCATTTAAAATTTTCTCAGTTTAAATTTCTAACACACTAACACCAGATACATTATATATAATTAAGTCTCTGGAGTTCTCAGTAATTTTTTAAAGAATAAAGGGATTCTAAGACCAGGGTCTCAGAAGGTTCCCCGCCCCACCCCGCCCGCCAGGTAAACAATATTTCACATGGTTCAAAAGTCAAAACAATATAAAAATCTAACTCCAACTCCCTTATTACACACAGATAACTATATTTATCTTCCGTTCTTTAAGTTTCTTTACCCATTCTTACGTAAAAGATAATATACTACATAATTCTGTATCTTTTTTCCCCTCTTAGCAACATGAATATGGCTTTTTAATGAGTTAAGAAAAACAAAAAATTTAAATGTTACTACTACAAAGCTTAAAGTTATATTATATATACACATGTATATGTATATAGCTCAAATTAGATTTCTATCAAACAGTACTGCTCAAAGTAATGATTAGCAATGCTGATAATGTCACATAAAAAGACAAATAGCCCAATCAAAATTCCAGCAAGTTATTTTGTGGTTATCAAAAAACTGGTTCTAAAGTTTACTTGAAAAGTAAAAAAAGACCTGAGCAGCCAACATATTCTTGAAGAAGAACAAAGTGGGAAGACTGACATTGCCCAATTTCAACTTATAAAGTAATCAAGACAGTGCGGTATTGGTGACAGTATTGGTGACAGGTCAATGGAACATAAGAGAAAACCCAGAAACAAACCCACACAAATGCTTTAACAAAGAAGCAATGGAAAAAAAGACAGTTTTTTCAACAAATGGTGCTAGGACAATTAGGTATCTATAAGCAAAACAATGAATACAGAGACTTTCCACACTTCATAAAATGCACTCAAAATTAATCACAGACCTAAATATAAAATGCAAAAGTATAAAACTCCTGAAAGTTATAGGAGAAACATAGGGGAAAAAAATCTAGGTAACTTTGGATTTGGTTATGACCTTTTAGATATTATGCACAATTCATGAAATAAATAACTGGTAAGCTAAACTTCATTAAATTAGCATTTTCTTCTCTGCACAAGACACCATCAAGAGAATAAAAAGACAACAGATGAGAAGGAAAACAGCTGCAAAAGACATGTAATAAGACTATTATCTAAAATATACAAAGAACTGTTAAAACTCAGCAGTAAGAAAATAAAGAATTCAAAAATGAGTCAACAACCTTAACATAAAGATGAAAGATATGCAGGTAACAAATGAATAGGTACATGGAAAGATGCTCCACATCAAGTGCCATCAGAGAAACACACACTGAAATGATGAGCTACCATTACACTCTCTTTAGAATGGCCAAAATCTAGAACACTGATACTGCCAAACGCTGCAAGGATGAGCTCTTCATTCATTGCTGGAAGGAACTCAAAATGGTACAGTCACTTTGGAAGATTGGTGGTTTCTCATAAAACTAAATATATTCTTACCATGTAATCCGTTAACTGTGCTCTTTGGTATTTACCCAAAGGAGCTGAAAATTTATGCCCACATGAAAACCTACACATGTATGTTCGGAGTAGTTTATTCATAATTCCCCAAACTTGGAAGCAATCAGTATATTTTTTAGTAGATGAATGAATAAACTGTGAAACATCTAGAAAATGGAATACTCAGGCCTAAAAATAAGTGAGCTAGCAAACTACGAAAAGATGGGGGGAGAAACTTAAATACCACTAAGAACAAGAAGCCAGTCTGAAAAGGGTACTTACTCATACAACTATACGACATTCTGGAAAAAGGAATACTACAGAGACAGTAAAAAAAATCAATGATTGTCAGAAGTTAGAAGAGAAAGAGAGATGAATAGGTATACAGCATAAAAGGTTTTTAATGCTGTAAAACTATTTTGTAAAACTATAATGGAGGATATGTGTCATTACAAATTTTTCTAAACCCACTGAATGTACACCAAGAGTAAGCTCTACAAACTTTGGGTGACTAAAAAAAAGTCTAGACTCTATGGAAATAAAAGCTTCCATAAATTCCATGGGCTAGGGTGTAGCTCAAGTGATAGAAGTGGCAAGTGCAAGGCCCCAGGTTCAACCCCTACTCTTGATAGCAGGCATGCACGCATGCATACACACACACACACACACACGCACAAGTCTTACAAAAATCAAGCCTAAATATAATCAAGGCTCCAAATTTGCACTAACATAGCTACTTACATTAAAATTTATTTAAATTAAAAATTTCTCAGTTCCTCAGTCACAATAGCCACACTTCAAAGGCTAAATGGCCTCAGCAAAGGTAGAGAATATACTCATCTTTGCAGAACGTTCTACTTGTCAGCACTGTTCCAGATCTAATGTTTATAGGGGATAAAAGGAGGAATGGGATATGATAATGGTCACCTTGAGGACACAATCAACAGAATTCATACTGTTGGCAAATAAACGCACTAGTTTTTTCAACAAAGAAAGCACAGGGAAAAAAGCCTGTAATAAAAGAAAATCTGTGATTCAACAGATTTAAGAAACATATAGATCTTGATGGATCCTGATTTAAACCAAGCTTAAATTTAAAAAAAGAAAGAAAAAGAAAAAGAAGCTGGATATGGTGGTGCACAGCTACAATTCCAGCACTGGGGAGGCTGAGGCAGGAAGCCAGCCTGGCTGTACAATTAAGACCCTTTCAGAAAAGAGAACAGAAAAAGAAAAACATATTTATAGGATAGTCAGTGAACACTGACTACATATTTGATAACATTAGAAGATGGTGCTGTCATCTTAAAAAGAGGTTCTTGTTTTTCAAAGATACTTATTAAAATAACTGTAGATAAAAACCACATGTTTGGGCCAAACACCAGTGGCTCACGCCTGTAGTCCTAGCTACTCAGGAGGCAGAGATCAGGAGGACTGCAGTTTGAAGCCATCCCGAGCAAATAGTTCATGAGTCCCTATCTTGAAAAATACCCATCATAAACTAGTGGAGTGGCTCAAGCAGTAGAGTTCTGCATAGCAGTGCGAAGCCGAGTTTAAACCACCCCCATACCACCAACAATAAAAAAAAACAAACCCAAACATGATGTTTCGGATATGCTTCAAAACAGTCAGAGAGCAGAACCATAACTGTCCAAACTGGTATTTATTGAAGCTGGATAATGGATACCTGAGAATTCACTGAACAGTTTCTCTACTTTTTACGTTTGAAATTTTCCCGTAAAAAGTTCCCAGAACTGATCTCATCTCAGAAATGAGAGGTTCTCACATTTAAATCTCTAGCCTCAGTACATCCTTCTATGTTATACCCTCATTCTTCTGAGCTCAGAATGACTTTCAGTCCATTGATCCCTCTATTTTCTCTTGGTCCTTCAATTTCCTCTAACTATTTCTAAGTCACAACAAACAAGTGATTGCTCACAGGAGCTGCAAATGACTTTTCTGTATGTGCAGGTCAATGAGTGCTTCTGGGAGTGGAAGCAAAACTATGCAGATGGGTACTCTATAAACTTGTAGTTCACAGTAGAATCTTTCCATTTATCAATCTTTTATTTGACCTTACTCAGATTTTCCAAGTACTACTCTCAAGAATTACCCCAGAACACTCATCATTTCTCTTCAGGTCTCTCTACTTAACCATACAAGCCACTACTAAGTACTCAGAAGAACACAGTTTTGGATGTATTTGTACTTGTTTCTTTACAGATAAACTGTTACATTACAACATTTTCACCTGCAAAAGAAAACTCATAAGCAAAAAGATTTTAACAAAATCTTACTATAAATTAACAAAACTGAATGTTGCTAAAAACTTACTGTTAACAGCAATCCATTCATTGAGGTCCTCTCCCTCTGGCAGCATAACAGCTTGTCTCAGATTCCCACTTCCTAGAGTTGCTTCTGCATGTTTTAAGAGTTCATACTGATGAGACCCTTCAGGGATATTCTTCTTTGGCTTGAATGTTTTAGAAGACCGGCTGCTGCTGTTGGGTTAAAAATAAAAATGTATGAAATTTTAGAATTGAAAGCATTATTCTAGAATTGAAAGGCATAATTCTAGGCACAGAAATAGCTCTGGGAGATGAAATTAAAAATACCCCCTGGAAAATTGCCAGGATGGGAGAGGGGATGATGATCATTATAAAAAAATGTTTTAGGGCTGAGGATATAGCTCAGTGGTGGGGCACTTGTTACCATGCATGAGGCCCTGGGTTCAATCCCCAACATCATACAAAAAAAAAATTATTTCTCCACCCACAAAAGCAGGATTAATAGCACAATTCCACAAATAGGACAATTTTGTTATACCTGATGTAGGCATCTGGTAAAGGGGTACTTTAACCAAAGAAAAAACCTGGATGCTAGTTCTTGATCTGCCACTAACTCTGTGACTACCTAAGAAACCTAATCTGCTTTTGGCCTTGATTTCTACCTATAGAAAACAATGGAGGGAGGGAGTGATCCCTAAGGTTTCAGGATCCAGTTTTCTGTATCAAAATGTTTGCAATGCCATCAAAACAAGTAAGAAGTATTCCTAACATGAGCCCAAACCTACAAACCTTAAAAACAAAACAAAAACCTGATTTCTCTGAGCGATGTGACACAAATCTCAGCACTGAGAAGACTGAAGCAAAAGGATTACAAGTTCCTAAACTATGTGAGACACTGCCTACAAATAAAAACCCAAAATACACTATCAGTGAAAGTGTAAAACTTACAGCATTTTTGTAGGGCAACATGGCAGCATCTTTTAACACTACAAAACTTTCAATCTACCCATTCCACTTGTATGTATCTCTCCTAGATACAGATAACAATTTGTTTTCCAAGATTGTTTTTAATAGTAAAACCTGGAAACAATCCTAAGGTTCATCAGTACAGGACTAAACAAACTAGAGTACATCCACATCATGGACTAGTACAGTAGTAAAGACCTAGAGTACATGTATTCACAAAGAAGATTCAAAACATGGTCAAACACAAAGAACCAAATTACACTAGGAGTCTATTTTGTTAAAGCATAAGAAGGTATGGGAATAATACACATCAAAACGGGTAATTAATTCCAAGAAGAGAAAGGGACTAGAGCTGTGGACTTTCACTTTACCTGAGGAAATAGAATATTAATTAAGAGTGTAAGAAACAAAAAAGAATTATGAAAACACTAAAAACCAAACATGAAGAAAGAACTACATTTAGCTTCTGCTAGGGATTCACATCTATAATCCTGCTACTACTCAGGAGGCAGAGATCAGGAGAACCACAGTTCCAGGGCAGCCTGGGTAAATAGTTTATGAGACCCTACCTCGAAAGTACCCAACACAAAAAAGGGATGGCAGAGTAGCTCAAGTAGTAGAGGGCCTGCCCTAGTAGGCATGAGGTCCTGAGTTCAAACCCCGGTACTACCCCCTCCTCTCCCAAAAAAGAACTACACGCAAGGTGCTGGTGGCTCATGTCTGTAATCCTAGCTACTCAGGAGGCAGAGATCAGGAGGATTCCAGTTCAAAGCCAGTCCGGGCAAATAGTTCCACAAGACCGTATCTCAAAAAAACCCTATGCAAAATGGGGCTGGTAAGAGTGGCTCAAGGTGTAGGCCCTGTGTTCAAGCCCCAGTACCACAAAAAAAAAAAAAAAAAACCACAAAAAAAAAAAGAACTACATTTAACAGGGAAGTACTAAATTAGGACCAGTCCTTTACATATAGAAATAAGAAACTGTAAATGACAGGAAATCAAATATGGAAAACTAACGTGAAGTAATTTTTCAAGATTCAATCAGATCATCTAAATTTAGACTTTTGTGCTTCAAATGACACTATGAAGACAGTGAAAATGATCCACAGGATGAAAAAAAATTTACGAGTCATAGATAAAGGACTTGTATCCAAAATATGTTAGCCAGGCACCTGTGGCTCATACCTGTAATCCTAGCTACTAAGGAGGCAGAGATCAGGAGGATCACTGTTTGAAGCCAACTAAGGCAAATAGTTTGTAAGATACTATCTCGAAAAAACCCTTCACAAAAAAGGGCTGGTGCAGTGGCTCGAGATGTAGGACCTGAGTTCAAACGCCAGTAAAAAAAAAAAAAAAAAAAAACCACAAAATACATTAAAAAACTCTTACAATTAAAAAAAAAAGCAGGAGGGTGATCAATGCACAATACACACAGGTACAGAAATATCACAGTGAAACCCATTAATTTGTACAAGTAACAGCAAATAAAAATTAAAAAGGTAATTTAATTTAAAAATGAGCAAAGGATTTGAACAGACTTTACTTCAAAGAGTATACACAAATGGCCAATAAGCACACAAAAAAGATGCTCATTTAGTCATCAGGGAAATGCAAATCAAAACCTGGAGGCTCTATTTAACACGCAGCTATAAGAAAAGAGACAAGTGTCGGAGATCACGTGGGAAATTTGGAATCCTTATACAGTGCTGGTGGGAATGTAAAATGGCGAAGGGTTTTGCAATAGTGAAGAGCTTTGGAAAACTCCTGCAGTTTCTCAAATGGCTAAACACAGAGGCACCACATGAACCAGCAATTCCACTCCTAGGAATATACCCAGGAAATGTGAACACACACATCACACAAAAAAAAACCTGTACACATATGTTCATAGCAGCATTATTCATAATGACCAAAAAAATGGAAAACTCAAGTGTCCATCAGCAAGACAAAGGTTAAAAGAAATAAAACTTCATATTTAGGTTCAAAAGGTAACTGTACATCCACAATCAAACCATTAACTAAACATCAACTCATCTGTGTATGTGTCTGTGTAATACTTCCAGGAACATAGAAATCAGAAATTAAACCTAAAATATACAAACTTTTTAACATAGTAATAATGCTTTGGGGATGTTACCCTTAACCTAAAGGAAGGAAAATGAGATTTAGACAAAAACAACATTTTTCCTTTTTTTTTTTTTTTTTTGTGGTACTGGGGTTTAAACTCTGGTCCTTATATACCTTGAGCCACTCCACCAGCCCTTTTTCGTGAAGGGTTTTTTCACAAACTATTTGCCTCGGTTGGCTTCAAACAGTGATCCTCCTGCTCTCTGCCTCCTGAATAGCTAGGATTATAGATGTGTGCCACCTGCACCCAGCAAAAACTACAAAATTTTAATATGTGTATTTTATAAAGGTGAAGTACTAAAAAGAATGCAAATTTCTCACATTAAAGAACTGGGTAGGGCAGGACGTGGCGGCCCACGCCTATAATCCCAACTACTCGAGTCTGTGCAGTTCAAGACCAGCCCGGGGCCAAAAGAGTTAAAGAGAATCCATCTCGACAAACAAGCCAGGCACAGTGGTACATATACAGCCATAATCCCATGTACTCCAGAGGCGTAAGGGTAGTGAGCTTGCCTAGCGAGGCGCGGCCCTGAGTTCAAACCCCAGTATACAAACAAAAGGGAAAAAATGGATAAACTCTAGTTATGAAACTGTGTGACTCAGTAACATTAATAAGAATGTCAAGCCTGTGGGTTATGTTCGTAACTCAAAGCGATATCTATTCACATATATAACACAATTAAACAACATACAAAGTAGAATCCCAGAGAAAAATAAGATACTAGCGCAATGCTTCTCAAACCTCAATGCATGCAGAGAACTTTCAAACTTTCTCATTTGGGGCCTGGCGTAGTCTCTGAAGTGGGATTTTACACAGAGGAGTATTACAAGGTCACAAAATCAGTAAGGACTGGACCGAGGGGTCCGACTGCAAAGCCCAAGTCCACCTTCAAGCTTCTCAGGCTAAGCGTGCCACCTTTTCCGCGGGAGTAACTTAATGCCGACATTAATAAAACGCGACACGGCAGGGAGTAAAAAGCCGAGATGGCACGGGTAGTCACTCGAGGATCCGGAGGAGCGGACGCGGGATCCCGCGGCGGGGCAGGGCGCAGCGTCCGCCGACCGTCTCTCCGCCCTCTGGGGCGCTCGGGCGGAAAAGTCTGGAGGCGTAGCCGGCTCGAGGCCTTTCGGAGCCCCAACCTTCTCGCTCCGCTTCCTCTGCCCCAACCTTCATCTCTGCCGGCATATCCCATCTCCCGGCCTCCTCCCGTGGACACCTGCCACTTGACTGACCCTAGTCCTGCTGGCCCGGCCCTACAACCTCGGCCCTACGCCCGGCCTCACTCACAAGAGGAAGCTCATCTTCGGTCCTCGGAGGGCAGGGGAGGGGCCGCTGGCCCCCACCGGGGTCAGGATTCGGAACCCGCACGGGAACCAGGAGGCGTCGGACGGTCCTCAAGCTCGCGGACAGCAGGAGCAGGGCGGCCGTGGCGCTGAGTCGGGGTTCGAGGCGCCGAAAGCCGGTGCAAACCGCAGCGTCCGCTTCGCCCGCCTCCCCCACTTCACAAACCCGAAACGCGGAACCAGCAAAATCTCGCGAGCCAACGCTACGTCCCGCCTCGCCCCGCGGAGAGGGACTGGACCCTCCCCCTCCTAGAGATCAGCCAATCAGCGTTTGAGGGCCGAGCATTCCCTCTCCCGGAGGCGTGGTGAGGCCCGAGGTGCCCCAAAGGGAGAGGGGCTGGCCCTGAGCTTGGTGTTACTGTATTGGATCGCTATTCCCTAAGTGGCTGGGGGAAGCGGGTGGAGGAAGGGAGCTTCTTGAGTCCTGTCCACCTTGGCAATCTTTACAGATTTTAATCTAATTTTGAATAGGGATATATTTACACAGTATAAAATTCTCCCTTTAAAAATATATGTTCCAGTGTTTGTGTGTATATGTTCACAGAATTGTGCAACTAATCTCACATTGAACATTTTCATCCCATGTCCATGAGCCGTCACTCACATTCCGACACCCCTCCTCTCGGCAACCACTACTCTACTTTCTATTTCTGTGAATTTTCCTAATTTGGACATTTCATATAAATAGAATCATTCAGTAAGTGATCTTTTGTGACTGTCTTCATGTTTTAAGATTCACTCCTGTAACACATATGAAGACTTCATTCCTTTTCCTGAATAAATAATATTCCTTATGGCGTTTACCACATTTTGGTAATCCATTCATGCATTGATGGACATTTGGACTATTTCCACTGCTTGGCTATTGTGAATAATGCTGCTATGAACATTCATCTACAAGTTTCTGTGTGGATGAAGTATGCGTGACCACTAAGTGACAGCTAAATGACACCATGGTAGAATGAAGAAAACAAGAAGGGAAGCTGTAGGAGACTTGAGTCATAGCTCAGCAAATAGTGGTGCAGGATGCCTACTGCAAAAAACTTGCTCTTACCTGTCATCTCAGCGTTCATGTTGCTGATGATTTTATCTCATTCAGATATCACCTATCACATTAAATTACTGATGGTAATGTTTATTTTATTAACTTTGGTAGTTTTGTTTGTATGTAATTCAAAATGTGTGCGTTGATATATCTTTATAGAAGCTTAATGGAAGGGCAAACTCACATCATACTTTTAATTAATTAATTTATTTATTTTTGCAGCACCGGAGTTTGAACTCAGGGCAGGCACTTCACCATTTGAGCCACTCCACCAGCCCTAATTTACATTACTTTAAAAATATAGTTATCATAAAATGCATAAATAATTCAAGAATTTTTTCACCTTTTAATAAAATTGTTCTTCAAGTTGGAGAATTATTAAATCTACTTATTAGAAAACCCTTTCAGTAGTTAGATTTAAGGAAGAAGGGAGGAAGTCTTGGGAATTAGGGGAAAATTCCTGGTCAAATTTTGATTAGGTTATCAATATAGTCCTTTTAAGGATCAAAGGTAAGATTTTTCCAGTGAGAGAGAGGAGGGGGGAAGATTGCTAATTGCTGTAGGGCAATTCATTCCCCATGAGACAGGGGCTACACAAGACTAGGAAAGGTTTATTCCTTCCTTCATTCAGTCGGACAGAGAGATCCCTGCACACCATCTGGTTACAGCAGACGCTGAAAACAGAAGCTAAGTGACAAACTATAAAGGCACCAGTCCCACCTCTTCTAAATCTTTCCCCACCCCCATCCACCTCCGCTCACCACACAGTTCCTCTTTCTCCCTCTTCTTTGGGCAGAATTTGCAACTTTGCATTTTCATTCTGTGTAAGCGCCCTGTCCCGTCATTTCCAAAACTCCAGCTTTGCCCTAACAATCTCTTCCCACTTTGGTTACAGTAAGGTTCCTGCCTGTCCCAGCCAGTTGGTGCTCTCAGGGGCTCACATTTTAGCTTCAGTCACAGATAAGTGAAAAAAGACAGTAAAGTTGATAAGCTGTCCCTGCCTATTATCTCAGGACTCAGGTTGCAGACTGTGAAAGAGAAATCCCAATTTATCAGGCACCCAAACCCCACTCTGAGAAGCCATATAAAAATTTCCATCCTGAAAATGTCTTAAGTCCAAGATCACACATCTGAATTCACCATATACATTGGTGAGCAAAATGCATGACCTCTGCCCTCCTGGAGCTAACATTCAGTTGGAGAAGATAGATATTAATCAAATGAATTACACCAGTAGATGTGTGTAATTACAAATTGTGGGGCTGGAGACGTGGCTCAAGTGGTGAAGCACCTGTCTTGCAAGCTTGAAGCCATGAGTTCAAACCCCATTTCCACCAAAAATAAAAAACAAATTGTGGTGACTGCTATAAGGAAAAGCACAGAATGCAACTGAGAAATTTAAGAGCGTGTGACAGGAGAGATCAAAGAGAAGCAGAGAACTTTAGTATCATTTAAGATATCCTGAAGTTCCCAGAAGATGAGTTGGCCGAATGAAGAGTGAAAGAAAAAGTGCTGCTCAGAGTCAATCACGCATGCAAAGGCTTTGAAGCAAGCAGGTGTTTGCTTTGATCAAGGAACTGAAAGAAGCCAGTGTGTGGAGAATGTGCAGAGGGTGAAAGTGAAGGAAAATGAAACCAGTCACCAAGAAACTCTTTGAAGCAAGGTAATCAACCACTTAAAACTTTTAAAAGCATGGTGTCACCTGCTGTTTAAAAATCCAAAGCAATTAAGAGGTTATGGTTATTGTATTTGTTTGGGCAGAAGATGGAGTATACCAGGACTAGGTGAATGAGGAGAGAGGTAGGTGAAACTGAGATATATTTTAGAGAGAAATTATTCAAGTTCCAATGAAGAACTGGATTGGATGTCTAGGGGCCAAGTTTTTAAGTCAAGTAACCTGGGGTGCAGCCTTCAGGCATGAGTAGCAGTGGTTCTGGGGAGCAAAGGGAAGAATGAAACCAGACAGCATGTAGGACAGGATGTGCTCTGCAGGAGTGGGGTTTGGATGTGGAGGTGGGGAGAGCAAAGAAGAATCAGAAAGATTAATTGGGGCTGGGTACAGAAGAGCCTGAGCACCTCACTCCCCAGAATCTGGCCTAAAAATTGGAGATAAAGTTTTTGTTAAATGATATTTTCCATATAATACCATGAACAGCATAGAAGTCCTTTGGTTAAGCATATTAAAAATCTTCAATAGGACAAGGGGTGTAGCTCAGTGATAGAGTGCCGATGTAGCATTCAAGAGGCAAAATCTATAATAATGTTCACACATAGTGTCACTTTTGAGAGTTCCCAAAATTTTGCAGGGAGGTGACAAGATTAAGCTTTGTTGCAAGCCCAGGTGTCTCCTCACAGTAGCTTGCTGACGGCAAGTTCTGTGAATCATCATGTCTACTGACATTATGACCCATACGACTTTTCACATCCATTTTCATGAGAATTCTTAGCACCACATTCTTTTTCTTAGTTTTTTCTCTTGATCACTGTCTGTAGTATTATCCCAAGCCCCATGAAGACAGAAATATCACTGGTTTTTAAAAAATAATTTCATACATTCAGACAGGTGGTAGGAAAAGTTCAAAGATTTTTCAACAGTTGCTATCTGCCATTTGTTTAATTATTTTCTCCTTTTGTATATACAATTGTTATGGACTGAACTGTGTTCCCATGAAAATTCAGTGATAAAAGCATGACTGTATTTAGAGATAGGAACTTAAAATAATAAGTTAAAATGAAGCCATTAGTGTGAGCTCTAATACAATCTGATTAGTGTTCTTATAAGAAAAGGAGATTAAAATGGAGGGGGAGAGAGAGAAGGAAGGAAGGAAGGAAAAAAAAAAGAAACCAGAGATGCATGTCACAGAGAAAAGGCCATGAACCAACTTCAAGCCAAGGACAGAGACCTCAGAGGAAAGCAACCCTACTGATGCCTAGATCTTGTACTTACAGCTTCAAGAACATTAAGAAAGTAAATTTCTGTTGTTTAAGCCATTCAGTGTGTGGAATTTTGTTATGGTAGCCCTAGCAAACTAATACATACATATTATTATTTTCTGAAGCATTTTAAAGTAAGTTGCAAACACAATGTGCCTTTATCTTTAAAAGCAAGTAGTGTATGTTCTCTTACATTCCACAATATAGTTAGCTAAATTAAGAAATTAACATTGATACAATGCTAGTAGCTAATTATAGACTTAATTCTCAATTTGCCATTGTCCTACAATGTTATTTATAGCAAAAGAGAAAAAAGAAAGATAAACAAAAAAATTGGGAAGGGGTCCAGAATCCAATCCAGAACCAAACACTTAGTTGTCATTAACAAAAAAAACACCTTTAAGCTAGAAATTATTTCCCATACCATCAGAGTTTTGACAATTTCAAAGCTGACCAGTGGTCTATCTTGTAGGATGACTTGTTTGATATTTCCTCATGATTAGATTAAGATCTTCTAGCATATTCCAAGCTTACAGGAACATGTTTTTTTTTTTTCCTGGATGCTTTTTACAATTCAGGTCTATGATCTCACTTCTTAATGTGAAAATGAGAAAGTGGTAACACTTTTTAGGAGAGTTTTTAGTTTAGGAAGACCACTGCATTAAATTTTCAGACTTATTTTTTTTTTATTCATATGTACATACAATCTTTGGGTTATTTCTCCCCCTCCCCCCACCTCCTCCCCTACCACCCACCCCACCCCTCCCTTTCCCCCCCACCCCCTCCATACCAAGCAGAAACTATTTTGCCCTTATCTCTAATTTTGTTGTAGAGAGAGTATAAGCAATAATAGGAAGGAACAAGGGTTTTTGCTGGTTGAGATAAGGATAGCTATACAGGGAGCTGACTCACATTAATTTCCTGTGTGTGTGTGTGTTGCCTTCTAGGTTAATTCTTTTTGATCTCACCTTTTCTCTAGTTCCTGGTCCCCTTTTCCTATTGGCCTCAGTTGCTTTTAAGGTATCTGCTTTAGTTTCTCTGCATTGAGGGCAACAAATGCTATCTAGTTTTTTAGGTGTCAGACTTCTTTAAAACCATGAATTGATGAGTCTTTTCAATGTGTCATATTAGGAAGCACATAATGTGTGTTTGTTCGGTGACTGACTGGTAGTGTTAACTTCTATCACTTGGGTCTTTATTATTATTATTAGTAGTAGTAGTAGTAGTAGTATACTGCGGATTGAAATCAGGGCCTTCTGCATGCTAGGCAAACACTGAACCACTAATCTTCCTCCCCAGCCCCGGTTTTATTATTCATAAGTATTTTGCTGGAGAGATACTTTGAGACTACACAAAAAGGCTTTCAGATAAAATACGGAAGCTCAATTGAATTTGAATTTCAGGTAAATAATACTTTTTAGAGTATAAATATGAAACCCCAGAAACTATTTATCTAAAATTGTAATTTAATTGGGCATCTTGTGTTTTTATTTGCTAGATCTGGCAAGCCTATATGTAATATCTTGTTAATCATCCAGTTTTCTTTCACCCAGCTGTTGATGATTCTGAATCAGTTTTTACTATTATTTTGTCAAACGGTGTTTTTCAAACTCCATTTACATTTTTTAATTAGTATTCTATATTTGCTTCTCTCTCTGTCTCTGCTGTGCTTTTTTCTTTTTCTTTTTCTTTTTTTCTTCCTTTTTTTTTTTTTTTGGCAGTACTGGGGTTTAAACTCAGGGTTTCACGCTTGCTAGGCAGGGTAGACCCACTCCACCAGCCCTTCTCTCTTTCTCTTTGGCAGTACTGTGGTTTGAACTCAAGACCTCCCATTGCTGAGTAGGCTCTTTACCACTTGAGCCAATCCACCAGCCCTGTTTCGTGTTGGGTATTTTCGAAATAGGGTCTCACCAACTATTTGCATTGGCTGGCTTCAAAACTTTATTATTATTCTCCTGATCTCGGCCTCCTGAGTAGCTAGGATTACAGGAGTGAGCCACCGGCGCCCGGCTACCTGTGTCTTTATCCACATGTTGCAGTTCCTCTACAATGCCTAGCATGCAGTAGGTGCTCAGACATTTGTTCAATGAAAGAATCAACTCAAGCTGTCAGTCGGGCTTAGGTGACAACAGCTGCGTCAGGCAGGGGCTTGACTTCATCAACCAATCACACATGCTACCAAGGTTTCTGAGCCTTCTAGAGCCTAGCTACGGACTTTTCTTTCTCCAATCATAAGCAGATCTCTACAGGACTCCGCTTACGTTTAATGAAGACAGCCGATTGGCTCTCACAGCTCCAGCAGGACCAATGGGGGTCAGCGAGAGGCGGGGCCTGAAACCGGCCGGTGGTATAACCGCGAGGCTCGCGCGCGCGGTTCTCTCCCGGCGCGGGCACCGGCGCGGGCTATGGCTGGAACTTTTTTCTTGTCTGCGTTAGCCTCCAGGCTACTTCGGCCCACACACAGCTGCCACCTCCGCCATCGCTGCTTCCACCTTGCTGCAGTTCGGTAAGTGGATGGGGGGGAGCGGCTCGGCGCCGACAGCCGGGGAACGGAGGAACTAGGGGCGCCGACGCACGTTTTTCCTGAGCATCGCCCCCGCAGTGGTGGCCGCCGAAAGAGGGGTGTGGCGGGGCTACGTGGCACCGAGCGCGGCCGCAGCCGACAGTGCGGAGGGAAGACTTGGGGCGGGGGTGGGGGGACTTTAGGGTGTCTCGATTTGCATGGGAACATACAGGTTATGGTGCAGAACCATCTGGTTGCTCCTGGAGGTGATGCAGACAGTTGTCGCGGGGAGACCGTTTGCCTAGCGCCGGGAAGGGTTCCCAAGAAGCAGCCTTGTGTGAACCATCCCTTCCCGGGACCCTAGCGGCCGCCGGGGTTGGTGCAGTCTGATGAAATCCCCGCGCCGGCTTGCTGGAGGGGTACCGCACTTCCTGGACCCTTCTCCTGCAGGGGTGGTTGTGGTTCGCGCTCTGCTCGAGCTGCCCTTTTTTTCGAGGTGAATGGATGTACTGTGATCCCCAGGGCTTTTTCACTGCAGCCCACCTCGAGCTGGTCAGTGCTAGCCTGGGTAGCTTGAGGTGATAAATACCCCGGAGGTTGCCAAGGGCTGGCGGGAGGAGGAGGGGAGGGGTGAGTTATTGTTTCATGGGGTGTTGCAGTTTCACAAGATGCGTTCTGGAGATGGATAGTGGTGATGGTTGCACAACATAATTAATACCACTGAACTGTACACTTCAAAATGATCAAGATGGTAAATTTTGTGTTACGTGTATTTGCCACAATAAAAAAAAGTTGATGGGAAAAAAAATACCTGGGAGGATAGGGAAAGCTGGTTGTCTGCTTACATTTCGTTAGGGAAGTAATTGGTTTTTCCTGATCTTTCTGAACCTCAAATTTCCATCCCTAAACCTAGGATGAAATCTTTTTTGGGGGGAGAGGGGGACTGTGATTTCTCTCCCCACGTGTATCTATGCACCCTCTTTCCTGTCAATCTTTAGAGCGTTTGCATTGCTATAGTTCTATGCCTGATAAAAGCAGCTTCTTTTTTTCCCATAGACATTCACTGTATTTCAGACACTGCTAAACTGTGCAAATTTGGAGGAGATTAAAAACTGTTCTTGACAGGAACACGTGTGATTTCCACTCTGTAAAAATGCTATTAAAGACATTTCCACGGCCCTGGTTGTTGGGGCACAGAATGCAAAATGTAGGATGTACACTGATGTGTTTTTGGAGGACTTGGGAGGGGGCATTAAAGACTTTCCTTTTTGTGACCCTGATCTGCCTTTTCAGCCCCATCTTTCATTATTGTCTGTTATTCCCATCCTTATTCCTGAATGCTGGCCACACGTGTCTGTGGACCAGACCTTTCATAGACTTTTCTGATTGGAAAGGTATTTATAAAGATCCTCTAATACATGAACTAAGTACTGCTTATACTCTGATAACAAATGCTCTTTTTTTGCCTGCCTTTTTGAGAGATACGGGCTCCCCAACTCTGAAGGCAATCTGTGTTATCTGTATTGCACATGTGATATTTACAGTGCCTGCAGTGCTCTTCGGAGGGTTTCAGGAACATAAACCTCATGGTTAGAGAGATAGTACTGTAGCCTAGGAGACAGGGACATAGGAGTAAATGGACTTTGGAAGCAGAAATTTGCATTGAATTTTGTTTCTAATATCCTCAGTTTCCTCTTCTGTAGAGCAGGGTTATTATAATAATGCCAAGGTAACATATGTAAAAAGTCTTAGAAAAAGATTTGCAGTTTAATAAATGTTAGTTCCATTCCCCTTTGTGTCTTTTTTTCACTCATTCCTGGTCCCATTAATCAGTAGATAACAGAACTCTTCCTGAAATAACTTGATTGGGAGTTGTAAAATGCCCCTGATAATTTTTGATGGAAAATTACTTAACTATTGGGTTAAGAGAAAAGTGATGTTACCAATGTGGATTTTGGTTTTGAATTTTATTGGACCAGACCTTGATTTCTCTATTCTGTTGATTCATTAATTGAATGGAAAAATTTCTAAACGCATCCTAAATAAATGTTAGCTAATAGAATTACAATTTTTATATTTCCTATGGGACTGAACGAACTCTCCCATTTCCCTGTTTATTTTGAGGTAGCAGTGACTATCTGCCCTTTGGCAAAAGAAATGATAAGAAGTTAATGTGTTTCACATTTTGCAGAATTGAGGGAAGCAAGGGAGGGCAAAATGCAGTTACATTATGAAAAATCTTCATTACATTGTGGCTTTGTTTTCAGTTTGTGTTACTCTTTTCTTTTTTTTTTTTTAAACAAATTGGCATAGCATCCAGAACCTGTCTTTGGAAGCAAAGATTGGGACTTGGAACACTGACTTCTCCTAGAACCCTGTGTCCTTAACTTTAGTTTATCATTTTTAGTCCAATTGGGCTGCTACCATTTTCTCTGTTTACTGCTGCCAAAAGAACTGTTTCATGAAGTGCAGCCTACATCCGTCTCACAAGTATGTATGTGTATGTGTGTATACATGTATCCAAAGGATATGTATGTATATATAGCCAGGAGAAGAGAGTAGGAAATTAGTTTTAGTGAACATAATATGCCTGGCACTTTATATAAGTTACTTCATTAAATACAAATGACTGTCCCTTTTTAAGAAGTCTTTGTAGTGTTCTGGAATTGAGAATGTATTTCTTTCTGGCTGAGTGGATATTCCAGGTACTAATAGATAAGGAATGTTGCCAGGGATATTTGTGATCAGCAAAGCTTTTTAAATTGTCTTCTTCGTTCTGATTCTCTTCATTCAGTTTCTACAGTGGATGTGTAAACATTAACATGTTTTCAGTTCCTTAATATACTCAGTATAAATTAAATGCTATTTAATGCCATGCTAGTATCATTACATAAAATCAAGTAAAAATAGTTGGTTTGTTAAAAATTATAGATCATTTTAATATCTCATAGGATGCAGTACAGATTTATATAAATTTTAGATATGTTTTTTATTTTTTAAATGTTTTATGTTATTATTATGGTGATATGGGATCTGAACACAGGATCCTGTGCTTGCTAGGCAGGTGCTCCACCACTTGAGCCACACCTCCAGCCCCCTTTTTGTGATAGGCTTTCCGAGATAGGGTCTAACTATTTCCCCTGGGGCTAGCCCTCAAACCGTGATTTTCCTGATCTCTGCTTTCTTGTAGCTAGGATTACAGTGAGAGCCACCAGCACCCATCTAGATACAGATTTTTGTGTTACATGTAAGACATTGAGATTAGGTTTAACTTAGGTATCTAATCATAATGAAAATTAAAAAGCAGGCATTGAAGGTTGTAAAAGCTTTGAAGTTTCATTTTAACTAATGGTAAGCCTTGAGAAATAATCCTGTCTGACATAAGAGGCATCCAGTACTTTGATGCAATTATGCCTGAGAACTAAACATGTGCTGTAGGGGAAATGGATGTTTCATTGTTCTTGAGGTTGGAACAGTCCTCCTGGGAGGTTAGAAGGCAAAAGGGAAAAGACTTTCTTTATGGATCTTTCTGCTTAAAGAGATGCTTTTCTTTAAGTAATGGCACTTTAAGACAAATGTAGAAATAAGAAAACTAGGATTCTTTACATCTGAGCTTCCTGGAGCCCAGGAAGAGCTGCATAACCAGTTCTTATTGGAAAGAGACAGCTTTGCAGTAGTCCAAACATGGTTTTGGGAACTGGAGGTTCTTCTAGATCCTGAAAATTTAGAAGAAGTGTTGCCCCACCTCCAACAGTAGTTTTCTGGTTCTTTGCTCTAGTTTTGTCCATTGATGTGACTGCTATTCTCTGATCTCTGCTTCTTTCTGTCTTTCTTCTGCTCCCATCAACAGGTCCTCTGTGGTTCTAGTTTGAAGTCCCTTGGGAAGAGCTCTGCTTAGTCTAGTTAACTAGTACCGTTCTTGTTGGAGTGGACTTTTTGCACTATCTGAATTGCTGGCCAGCCTAGGATTTGTGGTCCTTGGCATCAGATGCTCACTGCTGGTCTATCAGCTGTGGATGGGCTAGGGGTCCTGGGGTAGAGTACACTGCCATCTGTACCTCCCTCTTCCAAAACAATCTTTTCCACAAGGGACTATGGGCAGTGGTAGCATCTTGAGGACTGATCTGTATTGGTGAAGTGTTTATTGGTCTAAAACTGCATTACATGGTTTATGTATGTCAGTCCTCTGTATCTGTGGGTTCAACCAACTGTGGATAGAAAATATTCTAAAAAAAATTGCATCTTTACTAAACGTGTATTTTTTTATTTCTTGTTATTATTCCTAACAATACACTGTAACAACTGTTTACATATATTTGCATTGTGTTAGGTATTATAAGTAAAGATTTAAAGTATAGGGAGGATGTGCACAGTTCATATGCAAATACTATACCATCGCCATTTTACATAAAGGATTTAAGCATCTGTAGGTGGGGAGAGGATCCTGGAACCAGTTCCCCACAGACGGACAAGTGTATTTAAAAGCACCATAAAAATTAAAAGCCAATCAGCTAACTGGGAAGCATGATTAAGTATTAACAACACCAGCAAAACATGAGCTACAAGTGGCATACAAACATTTAGAGAAAACTGTTTAACCTCATAGTAGTGAGGATGAAAGGAATGCAAATGGGAACAATGAAAACTTTTGGCAATGATCTGGAGTCAATGAGGTGGAGCATTTAAGAGCTTAGACTCCGATATGAGGCTCCACCTGGCCAGGTACTAGCTATCAGTCACTTCAACTTCCCGAGTTTTTGATGAACTATTTCTATCAAGTTTATCCCTTCAACTTGTAGTTGGACACAAGTGTACCACTTTAAATCTGCTCTTCAAACTTCAAGTGTCCCTCAGATTAGGCATTTAAATCTAAGCTTTCAGTTTTGGGTGTTTAATAACAACTTTTTGTAGTTTGGACTTTACATTTACAGAAAACCAAACCATTTGGTTTTGTAACTCTGTTGCGTTCTGTAGAAATGAAGCTGTTGTCATTTCTGGAAGGAAACTGGCCCAGCAGATCAAGCAGGAAGTGCGACAGGAGGTGGAAGAGTGGGTGGCCTCTGGCAACAAGCGGCCACACTTGAGCGTGATTCTGGTTGGTGAGAATCCTGCAAGTCACTCCTATGTCCTCAACAAGACCAGGGCAGCTGCAGATGTGGGTAGGTCTCCCTGTCAGACCCCTGCCACCATGTTCATCTGAGGCAAATACAACTGTGATTTATGATTCCTCTTTATGATTAGAAAACCCGGGCAGAGGAGGATAATGTGATGAAACTATATCTAAAACTTTCTCATGAAGAACACAGGCCCTGTCTGCTGGGGAGGCTTTTAGACTAAGACAGGAGGAACCTGGTTGGCATTCTCAAGTGTCTTCTGTAATATAGTCTCCATTCTGTTCTTAGCCTTAACATTTCACAGATGACCTTGAATACATTTTACATTTGCTTTCCTAAGTCACTGACCTAGGTGTCTTCAATTTAAGGCTGTAGGACATTAGGAGGGAAGATTAAGGTATCAGGAGACTGCAGTGATGGGGTTGAATAGTCAGATATGAAGGAAATTACTAACTTCTGGGAAATATCTTTTGATTTCTTCACTGGTTAGTTCCAAAGCTAAACTTGCAGTTTGAAGTGGTTCAGATCTGGTGATAGCAGGTTTGTGTCCCAGGTCTTGTACCACTGATGACTGTGTAACTGCAGATAAGATCATGCCTCTACCCATTCATCTGTGGGCCAGTGGTCTGAGTACCAGTTGCCCTTTCCTTCTGGTAAGGCTGGACAGTTACTGTCCCCTTAGCCCTTAATACACTCTATTTTTGATTGCTGAGAATTAAGGCCTCCAGCCTTTTTAGTTGAAAACCTTTAGAAGTGTCTAGAATATAGGTAGTCATATTTTTTTTTTTTTAAGATATTGGGAGGCAGCATGGTACAATGGAAAGAACATCATCCATGGAATTAGAAAGATTGGCTGTGTGACTAGCTGGTTTTTACATCTGTCTTAGGCTCAGTCTCCTTATCTGTAAAATTAGGTTAATAAGGGTTACATGGAACAGTACCTGGAAAGTGTTGAGCTAGTATTTTCTAGTGTGTATGTTAGTGAAGTTAGCTGTCTAGGATCCTTGTGAGCTAGTTAGTTTTTCAGCTCCCAGCACGAGTGCAAGGATAGACACCTGTGAGAGCATGGCAGGCAACACAGCAGTGCTCATTAAGTACTTCAATTTTTTTTAACCTTGGCATTTTCTTATAATAGGAATTAACAGTGAGACTATTGTGAAACCAGCTTCAATCTCAGAGGAAGAGCTGCTGAATCTAATCAACAAACTAAATAATGATGAAAATGTGGATGGCCTCCTTGTTCAGCTGCCACTCCCAGGTGAGTTTTGGTCTCCACCAGTTACAGTGATTTCTGAGTAGTGGAGAGGCTTGGCTACTTTACACATCTGGCCCTTCACATGGATTTGATTTAAAGGTGAGGAAAACTCAAAAGATTGAATTATTTTATTGGGAATGGTATAGACCTTGGAATGCTGATTGCCCCTTAGTTTTGTGTTGAAATATTGATACAAAATACAGTGGAGGGAAGTAGTGTGTGTGAGAGGGGAAGAGGGAATATTGCCTTTCACATTTGGCATTTGGCTTTGTTTAATGTGAGCTCATTCTACACAGATGAAGATCATCGTGGAGACAAGACATGACAGGGAGTAGATGCACATAACAAATCAGATAAGGTTGAATCAAGCTGCCCTAACTACTAACAGTGACTTAAGGCCACTGCTTTATTTTCTTTTGCAGAGCACATTGATGAGAGAAGGATCTGTAATGCTGTTTCTCCAGACAAGGATGTTGATGGTTTTCATGTAATTAACGTAGGACGAATGTGTTTGGACCAATATTCCATGTTACCAGCTACCCCATGGGGTGTGTGGGAAATAATTAAGCGAACTGGTAGGTGTATCCCAGAATTGTATGTCTGTGTTAGTATTATAAAAGTAGTACAGGTTGAGCATCCCGAGTCCAAAAATATGAAATCCAGAATACTCTGAAATTTGAAATTTTTTTGAACATTGACTTTATAAGGGATGCTACTACAGTAAAATCTATGCAAATATTCCCAAATCTGGAAAACTCTGAAATCTGAAATACTTCTGGTTCCAGTGTTTAGATAAGGCATATTCATCCTATACTTGGAAATGGCAAAAATTTCTGCAGTACAAAGACTGGAACCTAGCATACGTCATATCTATTCCTGTTCTGCAGAGTTTACCTCTTAACAGTTACCTCTGATGGTTTTTGTTCTTTAACCCAGAAGCCTCAGGGAAAGAAACTTAAAATACAATAGTGGTGACTGCACATTCATACAATACTTTGCAGTTGTAGGATGTTTTCTCCTGTGCTAGTTATTCCTGTGTGGCAAGTGACAGCTTCGATTGACTGACGAGGCAATAAACTTAGCAACTTCACAAAGTTTGATTCATGTCCTAGGCTGTCTGACTTGATACTCATTCTAAGACAGGTCAACACTACTGTTAATGCAAATGTGTGTGTGTGTGTGTGTATTTTTTTTTTTTTTCCCCATAGGCATTCCAACCCTAGGGAAGAATGTGGTTGTGGCTGGAAGGTCAAAAAATGTTGGAATGCCCATTGCAATGTTACTACACACAGATGGGGCACATGAACGACCTGGAGGTAAGGAAATTACTTTCACAGCAGTGTCTTCTCCCTTTGGTGAGAATCTTCAGAGGCCATCCTGTGACTATTTGGAAGTATTAACTTTGTTATATTTTGTATTTGCTGTAATTTTAATAGTTACTCAGAGTAATGTTGGCTTAGAAGCTGTACTCACTGTCATCAAAGGAGTTTATTATTGATTTAGTATGGAGCTAGCCTCAGAAGCAAATTTGAGTTTTGAGTAAAGCAAGGTTGCAGGCAATTAGAAATGTTCAGTTATGGCTTTGCTGATTTTTCTAATTGCTACTAAGAAGCAATTTTTGAGGGGGTGGGGCAGTGATACGGGGGTTTGAACTCAATACCTCATGCTTGCTAGGCAAGTGCTCTCTACTTGAGCCACTCTAACAAGTTAAGAAGCAAGTCTTATTCCAAGTTAGTATCCTGACACATTGTTTAGTGGGGGAAAAAAATTAGGCTATTGCAAAGGACTGAATTGATACAACTTAAGTGTGTCATGTTATATTCTGTCAATTTGTCTAAGGAAAAGCTTCATAAATAAGTTATGGCAGGTAATTATTCTAATGACATTATATTATACCAGAAATAATAGCAAGCTTTTTTTCCCTCCCTTCCTTCTTTCCTCCCTCCCTCCCTTCCTTCTTTCCTTCCTTCTTTCTTTTTTTCTTTTTGAGATAGGGTCTCACTGTGTATCCCAGGCTGGCCTCAAACTCATGGTTCCCTGCCTCTGTTTCCTAAGTGATAGGGTTATAGGTATGCACTACTATGACTGGCTTTCAAATATATTTTGGCATGCTTAAAACAAAAACATCTTGAGTAATTCTAGTGAGACTTTGTTTAGGAAAAGTAAAATTTTTAAAAGCGTATAAAATAGGATAAGGAATAAATTTAATGATAAGTGACTATAAAGGGTAGAGCTTAGACTAATGGGTAAAAGCAACATAGAGTATTTTTAAAAAGTAAATAAGGCTGCAGCTCAGTAGTAGAGTGCTTGTCTAGCATGTGCAAGGCCTTGGGTCCAATTCCTAGTACTGCAAAGAATAGGAAAAAAGAAGTAAGTGACAATTAGTCATCCAGGAAATATGACATGAGCATTAGGTTTTTGTTTGTTTGTTTTTGAGGTATTGGAGTTTGAACCCAGAGCCTCATGTATGATAGGCAAGTGCTCTACAACTTGAGTCACATCCAGCCTAAGTCAAGTATTTATCACAGATGCTGAATTTCTACAGTGACTTGACCAGCTGAGACCTAATTTGATTTGAAAATCAAGACATCTTTTTTTCCCCTCCACAGGTGATGCAACTGTTACAATATCTCATCGATACACTCCCAAAGAACAGTTGAAGAAACATACAATTCTTGCCGATATTGTAGTATCTGCTGCAGGTAAGAACTCAAGAGAGGGGTGCAGAAGGACTTTCCTTTATGAAGAGTGAGGCTGTTGTCTTAGAAATTACCTGCCCAACTGCCATTCCATTCCATTTTCTTCTAGTAATGATATTTTGAGTTTGACTACTGTTTTCCATTATAGACTAAATAGTGAAGCTTTTTCCTAATGGAAATATTTCCATTTATTATATAAAATGTAAATGGTTCCTTGGGTAATAATTTTAATAGGTTTTTATAAAACATTAAGTAATTTGTTCAGGTTTCTGGAAATTAAAAGATAAGAATCTGACGGATGGAATCTTCTTTTCAGTACTAAGTTGATCATTCCTATCTCCATTGTCAGGTATTCCAAATCTGATCACAGAAGATATGATCAAGGAAGGAGCAGCAGTCATTGATGTGGGAATAAACAGAGTTCAAGATCCTGTAACTGGGAAACCCAAGTTGGTTGGAGATGTGGATTTTGAGGGTAAATGGTGTCACTATAATCAATAATACTACCTTTAACATTTAGAACAGGTTGTTTTTTATTTAACTTTTCAACATGTATTATCTTGGTAATATTGTTCACAAGAATTGAGCATAATTTCCAGATGGGGTGCTACACACCTGTAAAATGGCAGTACTCAGGAGGCTGAGGCAGGAGGATCATGAGTTCAAGGCCAGCCTGGGCTACATAATCAGCTCTAGGTCTAGGCTACATAGTGAGACCTTGTCTCAAAAAACAAAACAATAAAAAAGAATTAAGAGAAATCTTTTAAAGATGATAGCCATTCCAGAGTTATTTGGGATGTTTGTGTCATGAAATTGTAGAGGCAGGTATAAACTTTTCAGGGAGATGGTTTACCCTTTAGACTTATTTCATAATTGAAGCAACTTCATGACTTTTAATAAGTCTGAACATTTAATGAATTTTTTTTTTTTTTTTTTTTTTTGGTGTTGATTGTTGATCCCAGGCCTTGTTCATGTTAGGCAAGTGCTCTACCACTTGAGCACAACCCTAGCCCTCAAATAATTTTCCTAAACCATGAGTTTCCTAGAAAGTGTTAATCAATTTCTCATTCTCATTGAGAGAAGCGATCACACATCTGAAATGTTAAGATAGTCCAGGAAAAGGCCATATTCCTGTAATTTTGGAATACACTAATAGATTTTTCCTTCAGTTCTTAAGATATTTATCTGAATTTTATGGCAATATTATTTCTAGTGTTCTGTTTCTGTTAAAGCAGTCACATCCAAGTCTTGGTATCCAAGTGTTTTCTTGTTAAAATTTTAGGGGCTGGGAGAATGGCTCAAGTGGTAGAGCTCTTGTGAGAGGCCCTGGCTTCAATCCTCAATACTATAAAAATAAATAAATAAATTTATTTTAAAAATTAGGTTATTATTATTATTTTATTTCTTTACTTTCTGGAAAATTGCTTTGCTTAGTGCTTTGGGGAAATTATACTTTAATTTAAAAAAAATTTTTTAATGCTATAGGGTAGTATTGAGGTAGTGCTTATTATTAGAGTTATACCTACCATATAGTTAACCTACTGAGATGTTCGTGTGTAGATTTATTTAATATGGAGGAAAAGTGTGGCTAGTAAATTCTAGATTTTTGGATGTACAAATACTTACTGAATAACTGCCTATTACATGCATGTTATTTTGTCAGTGTATTTATTACTCTTGAGTAATGTAGATGTGATTTTTTTTTTAATGGGTTTGAGGTTAATGAAGGTGCTTATGTTATTACTGCCTTTTCTTTGCATGTTTCTTTCATAATATGTTAAAATATATATATGTCCTTTGGCCTAACTGAAACAACCTGCCTGTCTTGTTTTTATGCAGGAGTCAAGAAGAAAGCCAGTTACATCACTCCAGTCCCTGGGGGTGTTGGTCCCATGACAGTGGCAATGCTAATGAAGAATACCATTATTGCTGCAAAAAAAGTGCTAAGGCCTGAAGAGCTGGAAGTGCTGAAGTCTAAAGAGCGTGGAGTAGCCACCAATTAACTGTGTCTCCCATGACATGAAGAATACTCCAAGCCAGTCCAGGAATCAAAGCAGGCCAATAGAAATGCAATATTTTTTATTTATTCTGCTGAAATGGTTTTAAATGATGCTTTGTATTTATTGACAGCTTAAATGTGTGGGTGGGTGTGCAAATGGCTTTGCAGTACCTCACCAGGTAACATCTGGTGTCATGCTGGATCATCTCTTCCAGTCAAGAAGGAGCCATTGTCCTGGTGATAACATGAGATATACTGTCACACTAAAAATGGATGCTTAATTTTGTCAGGCCTCTTCAGTTAAAAATTTTGCCTTTTCTAGGATTGCATTTCCCAAGTGCTATTCCAATAAGAGTTGATACTCAATTTAGGTTCCAAGCCTTTTGAGTTCAACTGGTCAAACCAAAGGAAAAATTTTACCAGAGAAAATTAGGGAAAAGGTGAAAAGAAAGAAATGGTATGATTGAGTGGAGAAGAAAAATTACCTTAACTTCTGTTTGTACTGATTGGTAACCAAATTTATCTGAAGAGAACTGAATTGGCTGAAGAAAAAGAAAAACTACATGTAACCCACTGTCTTTTGCAGCTTAGTCATTGGGGAAAAGTTTAGGGTTGCTCCAATTTGCTCTTCCCTTTGTTTTATGTATGTTATCCTTCTGCGAGCTCACCCTATTTTAATTTTCTAGAATTGAAAGGCTCATTTTATAAATTATTTGTATTGCCATGTTTGGCTTTTGCTATATCCTTCAACTTTGCTGTTTAAGGTTTGTATTGTTAGGGGGTATCTGTGGTTTCTTTGGTATATCTTGAAACCTATTTTTGAAAAACAAAACTTGGGCTTGATAATCATGAGGCAGCTTGTATAAGTATGCAATTTACTTTCTACCAAAGAATCATTGGCAGCTCCCTGCTTTTCTTTCACGTACCCTGTTGGCTTTCCTGAAAGATTTTTAAGATCTTGAGTTAATATCAAATCTAATCAGACTTTCTGATTAAAGGCTGGGTTTTTGTTTTGTTTTGTTTTTGTTTGTTTTTTAAATAAAACACATTTTTCTGGTGTGGAATGAGTTTCTGAAATGTTGTCTTCCTACTGCCTTATCAGAGTTTAATTTTCACACTGGCTGTATCAGTCTAGTTATTCCTATATTAAGTAACACCCAACCTATAACCTTAAACAAATTGGTATGAAGAACTATGAAAAAACCAGCCCATTCCTTTTATATTCCAAGAGGTAGAGCCAAGCCAAGAGCTTAATCCATAAGATTTATTTAAGTGGTTTTGAGAGTTTTCCAAACCATGCATATAATTTATATATTGCTACAAGGATTTTCTCCTTGCTAAATCCTCAATACACACACGCACACACACACAGTGAATATACATCCCCCCCCTTACCTCCATTGGGGAGGGTTTAAAACATTAGCTTGACAAGAAGAGCGTGGGGTGAGATCTTCCGGGCACTGAATGAAAATAACTTCAACCCCAGGATACTCTACCCAGCAAAACTATCATTCAAAATAGATGGAGCAATAAAAGTCTTCCGTGATAAGCAGAAACTAAAACAATATGTGACCACAGCGCCACACTACAAAAGATTCTTCAAGGGATTCTGCACACAGAAAGTGAAACCCAACATAATCATGAAAGGGCAGGCAGCAACAAACTACAGGAAAAGAAAAAGCAAGAAAGTAGAGAGTAACCTCGATTTAGGTACACACAATCAAACCTTCAAACAACTAAAACAAATAAATGACAGGAATCACCACATACCTATCAGTACTAACACTTAATGTTAACGGACTTAATTCACCCATCAAAAGGCACCATTTGATGAAATGGATTAAAAAGGAAGATCCAACAATTTGTAGCTTACAGGAGACTCATCTCATGACAGAAATAAGCATAGGCTTAGGATGAAAGGCTGGAAGAAGATTTATCAAGCCAATGGCCCCCGAAAACAGGCAGGAGTAGCAATACATATCTCTGACAAAGTAGACTTCAAACCTACATTGATCAAACGAGATAAGAAGGACATTCCATACTAATAAAAGGGGAAATAGACCAAAAGGAAAAAATAGTTGTCAATCTATATGCACCCAATGTCAATGCACCCACATTCATCAAACATACCCTGAAAGACCTAAAAGCATATATTAACTCCAACACAGTGGTCGTGGGAGACTTTAACACCCCATTATCATCAATACATAGGTCATCCAAACAAAAAATCAGTAAATCCAAGATCTAAAATATACAGTAGACCAAATGGACCTACTTGATGTCTACAGAACATTTCATCCAACTTCTACACAATATACATTCTTTTCAGCAGTCCATGGAACCTTCTCCAAAACAGATCATATCCTAGGGCACAAAGCAAGCCTCAGCAAATATAAGAAAATAGAAATTATACCGTGCATACTCTGATCACAATGCAATAAAACTAGAGCTCAACAAAAGTAAAGACAAAAAACATGCAAACAGCTGGAAACTGAATAACTCTTTACTTAATGAACAATGGGTCATTGATGAAATAAAAGGAAATTAAAAAGTTCCTGGAAATCAATGAAAATGAAGAAACCTACTGGAACCTATGGGACACAGCTAAGGCAGTCCTGAGAGGAAAGTTTATAGCCATGAATGCATATATTAAAAAGACTGAAAGATCCCAAATCAATGACCTAATGATATATCTCAAACTCCTACAAAAACAAGAACAAGCAAATCCCAAAACAAATAGAAAAAAAATAAAAGTAAGAGCTGAAATCAATGAAATAGAAACCAAAAAAAACCATACAAAGAATTAATGAAACAAAAAGTTGGTTCTTTGAAAAAATAAACAAGATCGACAAACCCCTGGCAAACCTGACTAAAATGAGGAAAGAAGAAACCCAAATTAGTAAAATCAGGTATGCAAAAGGGAGATAACAACAAACACCATGGAAGTCCAGGAAATCATCAGAGACTACTTTGAGAACCTATATTTAAATAAATTTGAAAATCTTCAAGAAATGGACAGATTTCTAGATACATATGATCATCCAAAACTGAACCAAGAGGAAATTAATCACCTGAATAGATCTATAACACAAAATGAAATTGAAGCAGCAATCAAGAGTCTCCCCAAAAAGAAAAGTCCAGGACCTGATGGATTCTCTGCTGAATTCTATCAGACCTTTAAAGAAGAACTGATACCAACCCTCCTTAAATTGTTCCATGAAATAGAAAGGGAAGGAAAACTACCTAACACATTTTATGAAGCCAGTGTTACACTTTTCCCAAAACCAGGCAAAGACACCTCCAAAAAGAAAAACTATAGGCCAATCTCCTTAATGAACATTGATGCAAAAATCCTCAACAAAATAATGGCAAACAGAATTCAACAGCACATCAAAAAGATCATTCACCACAACCAAGAAGGCTTCATCCCAGGGATGCAGCAGTGGTTCAACATACGAAAATCAATAAATGTAATAAACCACATTAACAGAAGCAAAGACAAAAACCACTTGATCATCTCAATAGATGCAGAAAAAGCCTTTGATAAGATCCAACACCATTTCATGATAAAAGCTCTAAGAAAACTAGGAATAGAAGGAAAGTACCTCAACATTATAAAAGCTATATATGACAAACCTACAGCCAGCATTATACTTAATGGAGAAAAACTGAAACCATTCCCTCTAAAATCAGGAACTAGACAAGGCTGCCCACTATCTCCACTCCTATTCAACATAGTACTGGAATTCCTAGCCAGAGCAATTAGGCAAGAAGAAGGAATAAAAGGAATACAAATAGGTAAAGAAACTGTCAAAATATCCCTATTTGCAGACGACATGATCCTATACCTTAAAGACCCAAAAAACTCTACTCAGAAGCTTCTAGACATCATCAGTAGCTACAGCAAGGTAGCAGGATATAAAATCAATAGAAAAATCATTAGCATTTCTATACCTAATAATGAACAAACTGAAAAAGAATATATGAAAACAATTCCATTTACAATAGCCTCAAAAAAAATCAAATACCTAGGTGTAAACCTAACAAAAGATGTGAACGACCTCTACAAGGAAAACTATAAACTTCTGAAGAAAGAGATTGAGGAAGACTATAGAAAGTGGAGAGATCTCCCATGCTCATGGATTGGTAGAATCAACATAGTAAAAATGTCGATACTCCCAAAAGTAATCTACATGTTTAATGCAATTCCCATCAAAATTCCAATGACATTCATTAAAGAGATTGAAAAATCTACCGTGAAATTTATATGGAAACACAAGAGGCCACGAATAGCCAAGGCAATACTCAGTCAAAAGAACAATGCTGGAGGTATCACAATACCTGACTTCAAACTATATTACAAAGCAATAACAAAAAAACAGCATGGTACTGGCACAAAAACAGACATGAAGACCAGTGGAACAGAATAGAGGACCAGATATGAAGCCACACAACTATAACCAACTTGTCTTTGACAAAGGAGCTAAAAATATACGATGGAGAAATAGCAGCCTCTTCAACAAAAACTGCTGGGAAAACTGGTTAGCAGTCTGCAAAAACTGAAACTAGATCCATGTATATCACCTATACCAATATTAACTCAAAATGGATCAAGGATCTTAATATCAGACCAAACTCTAAAGTTGATACAGGAAAGAGTAGGAAATACTCTGGAGTTAGTAGGTATAGGTAAGAACTTTCTCAAAACCCAGCAGCACAGCAACTAAGAGATAGCATAGATAAATGGGACTCATAAAACTAAAAAGCTTCTGTTCATCAAAAGAAATGGTCTCTAAACTGAAGAGAACACCCACAGAGTGGGAGAAAATATTTGCCAGCTATACATCAGACAAAGGACTGATAACCAGAATATATAGGGAACTTAAAAAACTAATTCTCCAAAACTAATGAACCAATAAAGAAATGGGCAAGTGAACTAAACAGAACTTTCTCAAAAGAAGAAATTCAAATGGCCAAAAACACATGAAAAAATGCTCACCATCTCTAGCAATAAAGGAAATGCAAATTAAAACCACACTAAGATTCCACCTCACCCCTGTTAGAATAGCCATCATCAGCAACACCACCAACAACAGGTGTTGGCGAGGATGCGGGGAAAAAGGAACCCTCTTACACTGTTGGTGGGAATGTAACTAGTACAACCACTCTGGAAAAAAATTTGGAGGCTACTTAAAAAGCTAACATTGATCTACCATTTGATCCAGCAATACCACTCTTGGGATATACCCAAAAGACTGTGACACAGGTTACTCCAGAGGCACCTGCACACCATGTTTATTGCGCACTATTCACAATAGCCAAGTTATGGAAACAGCCAAGATGCCCCACACTGACGAATGGATTAAGAAAATGTGGTATCTATACACAATGGAATTTTATGCAGCCATGAAGAAGAACGAAATGTTATCATTGCTGGTAAATGGATGGAATTGGAGAACATCATTCTGAGTGAGGTTAGCCTGGCCCAAAAGACCAAAAATCGTATGTTCTCCCTCATATGTGGACATTAGATCAAGGGCAAACACAACAAGGGGATTGGACTTTGAGCACATGATAAAAGCGAGAGCACACAAGGAGGGGTGAGGATAGGTAAGACACCTAAAAAATTAGCTAGCATTTGTTGCCCTTAACAGAGAAACTAAAGCAGATACCTTAAAGCAACTGAGGCCAATAGGAGAAGGGGACAGGAACTAGAGAAAAGGTTAGATCAAAAAGAATTAACCTAGAAGGTAACACACATGCACAGGAAATCAATGTGAGTCAATCCCTGTATAGCTATCCTTATCTCAACCAGCAAAACCCTTGTTCCTTCCTATTATTGCTTATACTCTCTCTCAACAAAATTAGAGATAAGGGCAAAATAGTTTCTGCTGGGTATTGAGGGGGGGGGGAGGGTGGTAAGGAGGGGGTGGGGCAGGGGGGAGAAATGACCCAAGCATTGTATGCACATATGAATAATAAAAAAATAAAATTAAAAAAAAAAAATTAGCTTGAATTGACAGACTAGAAGGTTGCTGTGCCTGGGCACAT